GGGTCTTAAGGGTAAGCAGAATGTGGAGAAAAAAGCTCAAAGGATAGTACTTAACTACCTATGGATTAATTGTGTTGTTTTTGTGTTCAATTGAATGTTGCTTGTGATCGTGTTGCTTGTGATTTTGTTATGCTTGAATTTCTGAATTCACACCTCGAGCAGGTTAGAGATCAATAGCTGAGGTACCCCGGATTCAAACAAATGATTACTCCGCGGTAGAAGGTAGATGACCTCCCTCCAAGGCAGCAGGTATATAATAAAGGATCCCAACAAAAGATGAATGAGGAATGAACCCAAGTGCTCGCCCGGCCAACCTCCCTGAGGTGTGGTTAGGGTTGCGGGCTTAATGAGGATATGGGAGGTCTAGGGGAGGATCGTTACCCGTTGACCACGAAAGATCTGTGGGCCTTCCACTCTGGAGAATCATTTGGCCACCGATCTGCCACGGTTCTTGAACGCTCGGACGTCCCCGCAAGCAGAACACAGTTCGAACGCGCGATGTCGTAACATAGGGCGCCATGGTCTCAAAATGATGCAAAAACACTTCCCCCAACCGTCCAAGGTCTCCGTTCGTCCACGGACGGGGACGATTTTGAGACCCCACTCTCCCAGTTCGGGCCTGAAAATCAGTGCCCAATCAGTCCAAGAAGACGGACTGAAGACGGACCCGGAAAACACCGATTCCCCCGGTGACGAACGTCCCCGGTGAAACATGATCGGTCCGGGCCCATCCGGCCGCGCACCCCACGGCCGCGCCGGGTCTGGCTGGCGCGGCAGTGTCAGCGAAGAGAGAGTGAATTGCAAGAGAGCCCAAAGTAGAAGCACCTTCCGACAGGCCTCTGGTTTTTCCACTGTAAACGGGGTATCTAACAGTTTTAACAGATTTTCCACTTTGTTCTGTTTCGTTGTTTTCTGTTCAGGTGTGGTGGTTTGGATCAGTGTTTGGATCCGTTGTTTGGGGTCGGCGGGGGCAAGATGGAGATCATGCCATGAACACACCCCCTTCGATGTTTTTGCATAGTTGGAAGATCTACAGTAGGAATCTAACTTAGCGTCTTGAATCCACCTTGCAAGGCATTTTGAGGATGTGTCTTTGAAGGACCTTTTGAGGATGTTGTTGGATTGGGTGGACTTGATCAAGGACAAACAGATCGTTCTAGTTTGTAGAGTTCTCCCGCTGACCATGATCCATGCGGCTGGGGGAACGACGTGAAGCTTGCACGAAGCACCACAGGGATCGAGATGTTTGACCATTTGGGTTCCCAGCTTTAGTTGGCAGCCAGATGTGAACACGTTGTTTGTTTTTCGCCGCTGTTCGAAGAGCGGTAGAGACGAACTGACAACCTACTGAGTGATGTGGGGAAAAGAGACAAAACCCCGCAAAGATTCTTCGGATCCTGCATCCAGCATAGCCATTCAGGATGAGGGATTCACGGTTTCCATAAAAGCATGAGAACTGAAGATTGACCCATGCTCACCCAGGTGGTCTTCAGCACTCCTAGTCAGAACAAATGGCTATTGACATAGGCGCATGGAAGATGTTGAAGAAAAACACCTGCTGAGTTGCCAGTCACATTTGTGCTTGGTGCTAGCAGCCAAACGAAGCCCTGGCAGGCGCATCGTCGTTCCCCCGGCAGTCACATCTTCAGAGGATGCTTTTCAAAAATACGCATCACCAACCACCAGCCAACACCAACCTCATTCACTGCCTCAGGAATAGGAACCTCCGAATGGTTGGAACCATCCCAACGGAAGAGCGCCCTCTGCGATGACGGCGGGCCAACCAGTGCGGTTGCTCCAACGGCGCCGTCGGTTTCACGGTATCGAGGCCAAACTCGATTCCGCAGTGGAAGTCCGGATGGAAACGCCCGCTCTCAATCCGAAACGCCTCAGTGTGCAGTGGGAACTGGTTCGATCAAAGAAAGTGACGTCAAAAGGAGTAAAGGATAGTAAAGGTGTAAACATGAAGGTGTAAACCCTGGAATCCCTTTTGGATCCATATCTTGATTGAACACAAAAAACACAGACATCTTAGTCATCCAAAGGTTGAACATCGTTGGACCTTGGATACCCGTCGTGGGACCTCTTACCTTCACATGTGTGGTCCTTTCGGGGTGTCCAACAAGTTGCTCTTTTCTTGACAAGGTATACTGCATATGAGTATTATATTGATCAACATGTGATGATGGCAATCTGATATGAAAAGGGGGCTCCCTTTAAAGATCATTCCGACATCCCGATCAAGACACCTCGCACCTCGCACTCAGCCAGCCATCCTTATCATTCCACTGCTCGCCCACTCAATCGCCCGAGCGGAATTTTTTTGGGGGCTGGGAGACCCAGAGGAGAGAAGCAAGTGGCCAGGAGATGCCCGGACGGGTTGATACGATGGATTTGTTGGGATGCAAAGGAGGCCAACATGATCTGGAGTGGGGCATGTGCAAAGGAGCTCGGCGGCGAACCGCTTTGTTGATATTTGTTTGGATTCCACACGGCGGTAAGCCGTTGAGCTCGGTCAAAGACCCACCTGCCGAACCGTTGGGCCTTTGATGGTTTGGTCAGGGGTTGGAGGACTTGATCATCTTGATCACAGGTGTGTACCACGGACTGAAGAACTGAATCAAAGTGGCACATGCGTAGCATTTCTTAGTGATGGCAATGAATTTTGTGTTTTCTTTAGGTGCCATTTTTGTAAAGAACTGAATTTGTTTGATTCAAGAGAAGCGCATGTGAAAGAGCACATGAACGAATCGTTGGTTCATCCATGTAAAACCTTTCATCTTTGAGATGGTCAGTATTGGTCAGCTCAGAACTTGCCCAAAGGGTACGGCTGGCCATGGATCTACAGATTGGTCATAGACTATTTGCCAATAAATATGACTTACCATTTCTCTACAGCTTATTGCTTCGCCAGAAAAGTTTGTCGAGCTTCGAAGGATCTGATTTGGACCCATGGCCAGCGAACGACTGCTTAGGTGGATCAAAAATCGGGGGATGGATTTGAATAGAAAGAATCCACCTAAGGATCCACCTAGGTGGATCAGAGTAACCAGGTTAAAAAGAAAGAGACCTTTCGCTTCGACTGTTCGGCTCATCGCACCATCGACGATCGGATCGGACTCCGTTCGGAGCCGAAGCGCGTTCGAGTCCGCCGAGGTCCACCAGCCCCCTCTTCCGCCTGACACACCCCGGGCGCCGGGCGGACCACGGACTCGGACGGTGGCGGCGCGGCACTGAGAGGTGTCATGAGGTGTCGGAGCAAGGACGCTACGAACGGGGCTCCTGGCATCGCTACTAGGAGCAAGGACGCTGCTAGGGGCTCCTGGCCTTACTACTAGGAACAAGAAGCTACTAGTAACTCCAGTGCGTTGAGCAACACTCCCCTGGTTTGGAGCAGAAGCCGCCCTGGCGTCGGGGTGAGACCCGGGTGTGGAGGCATGGCCCGATGGCCTCCACCTAGTAGCGGCTACTTGCTACTAATTAGTAGTACAAGACAAGAAGCTTGTAGAGAATTTCGCAAGCTCCTAAGGGGGCGATGCTAAGTGTAGCAACGTTCCTCATGTATCCTCAGGTGTTAAAATCTGAGCAAGTATAATTATAGAAGCGTCCGTGTCCACGGGCTTCATCAGGCATCACTTTCAAACGACTTTCAAAAGCCATGCTTCGCCCGCTTTGCACAGACCGGGTTTGCGCATTCCAGAGCCAATAAGGTTAAACAAACATAACATGAGAACCGCGCTGCTGCCGTTGAAGACGAGCTTGCTTTCACCTTTTAAGTCTTGGGTGCTTGCACGCAGCTCCTCGAGTTGCGAAGAAGAACGCAGGAAGAACTTTTGGTCTCGTTGTCCCATCGGTTTTTGTATCCGGGAAAGCCTGGTTCGCCTGGGCAAAGGGCCCCACCTCTCCGGAAGTCGTCCTCAGCCGCAAAGGAAGTCGTCCTCAGCCGCAAAGGCCAACGACTGTGGCCATTTTCGTATGGTCAAAGACGATCAGAAGACGATCCACCCCAATAGCGATGGCCTCCAACCTAGAAGCGATGGCCTCCACCCTACTAGCGATGGCCTCCCACCATTCTATCTTCCCCCAAGAAGGCATCGAAGGTGTTGACCAATGATTTGGGGTGTGTTCCTCACCGAGCCAACTCCCATCATCGGTCCACGTCACACGTCACAGCGTTCAGCGGAAGTGTTCCAAACAGAGCACCCACCTGCATGTGGAACCACTCCAAACCCTGCAAAGCAGGGGATGCTTGCTCATCAAAAGGCGTGGCAAAAGTGGGCCACGCAACTCGCAGGTGGCCATGGTTCTTGGGTACTTTCCCCCGGTATGCAACAAAAACAGACAGGTTGTGGAATTTGCAGGCTGATCCCATCCCCCAAAACCATCAAACAAGTCCATCAATATCACCATGTTTTTCAAGCTCAGTACCCGAGAAAGTCCACCCGATCCAGGCCTAGGTGCCGGGTGGGAATTGACTGTTTATTTTCTTTGTGTGGGGGGGGGGGGCAGACCGAAGCCGTCGATGGGCGTGACCCGGTTTTCGAGGCGAAGCGAAAGGGTTTTCGAGCCGTGAAAATGGAACTTGCAGGGAACTTGTGACTTGAATGGGAACGGAGTCGTATTTTGCTTCTTTTTTTAACTTGGTGATGGCTCGGTTGTGGCCGAACGGAGGAATCCGCGCATGGAACTGGCAGGCCATAGGAGTGAGTTCTCAAGCAGCAAGTGCAAATCATGGAGACTGCATGGCAGTGGAGCATGACCTCGTGGTTAATTGATATATGATATAGTTAAATGATGCTAAACGCCACTGAAAGGTGCTTGACTGTTTGACTGTAGCTCACAGGTGACTGTGTAGAGGGCTTGCGCTAGGCAAGCAGCTCCAAATGTGTTTTCGAACCGACAGCTGGTAAACTCAAACACAAGATTTGCAAATTTACCCAGAACGCAGCAAAAGACATATCGATGAAATCAAATTTCCAAGGAGCCAACTGAAGAGAGCAACCAATACACTCACCTGCTTCATCTTCGATCCAGCAGCTGATACAGCTTCTTGCTGGTCGCCCTGCCTGCCGGGGTGTGGAGGGTGTGGAGGGTTTAGGTCGGCAGAACATGTTTCCTCCTTGCAGGCAGAACTAACAGGAGTGCGAATCATTTGGAGCCAGACTGTCTTATAGAAGTGCCTGTAGGCGCTACAGGGAAGTTTTGCTCCGAAGTCAGGACAGCAAAGAAAATCAGAGCAGGTTCAAACCCACCCCAACCCACTTTCATCTGGTTGGAGCTCCAAAAAGGGATTGTTGCCGCTGGGTTCTTTGGTCACCCTTGTCTCCTCGGTGCTTGCCCCGGCCTTATTCCCGCCTGCAGTGGTCAGATCATGGGTCAGATCCTTTTTCACCCAATGAGGAATCGGTGCATCGCGACTGGGTCAGAGACGACTGGGGCCCACAACAGTGGGCGCAGAAGGGTGGGAATACGACTGGGCGCCGCACGGACTTGAAGCATCATAGAGCACGCAGGCTTTTGAAGCATCATTTAGCCTTTCGGGTCTTCGCAACTTCAGGGCTTTTGATGGCTTTGGGGTCAAGTGATGCTGGAATTTTCAGATCATCTATCTGGGTTTCATCTCATGGATTTCGGTTTCCACTGAGTGTCCAGAACTCTGCAGTGCGAAATCTATGCTCAGGGCTCGGCCAGAGACTTTTCCCCTGTGATGGTGCCAGGCCATGGTGAAGAGTAAGGGAGCCAAGGCCAAGAAGGTGCGCGCCGTGACCGGAGTCGACCGGAGTTCCGAGCGGTGCCATTTGACAGGACCACCCTAGGAGAACCTCAGGTGGGTGTATAGGTGTGTGTTCATGCTGTCAAATATGTATCCATGTGTCTTGCGCAGTGTGGCATGCAGACACCCATCTCTGGTTCCCAGAGAAGACACATGGAAGACACCCCAGCCCGGCACAAAATGCGCAGAGAAAGGAGCGTCAGAACGACACAGCCCACCTCTTCATCGTCATACGTCGGGGCGGGGGGCGCATCGTCAAAGAGGTGAAACCTTTGGGGTGGGAAAACGACGCTTTTGGCAAGGGAGGACAGCTGTATGATAGGCTAGTACCTATAGGAGTAGGCGTTTTGCCATCGATCTGCGAGTTGGGTGCAAGTCCTCCCCGAATCGATCTGGACTTGTGGCTCGTTGAAGCCTTGGCGTGGAGGTTTGGGGGGGGCAGTGACAAAGCCATCGTGAAGCCCTATAGGGCTCCAGTCGTGCCTCCTCAGAAGGAACGACTGCACCCTGCAAACTGGTCACACCCAACCTCAGAAGCTACGAGCTCCAGTCCTGGGGGAAGATGGCATCGATCGACCATTTGAGGTCCCTCACAAGCGCCATCCGCAGGCGAAGAAGCCGAAAGATGGCGAGGCAAAGACTGGGGGAAAGAAGAGACAGACAAGGTTTTTCAAACGAATTCCTTGAAACAGAAGTTTTTCGCCTACATGAAGGCATTTTGTGGGTGAATGTATGTGGCTGCGGCTCGAAAAAGATGAGCCGGGACATGTCAGGACCCAGCCATTTTCTATGTTCCTTTTCACTGGATGGTTTGGATGGTTTTGAGGTATCACAGGTGACAAAAAATTATCCAGAAAATTGCAGAGTTGAATTGTTTGGGGTTGGATGTGATGTGCAGCACGGCTCGCGTTGGTTTTTTGGTGTTTTTGTTGTTGGCAAACCCGTTGGTGTCATGTAATGATGTGAGGAGGAGCCACAACCCTGAAACCCCTTCCAGGGAATTGATGGGAATTGATGTGTCTTTATTTGTTTGCCAATGGGGTCGCAAAAAGGACCCGGTTCCGAGGGAAGCTGTTTTTGGGGGAAGTTGAATCTCTTCTTCGGCCGCGACCGCTCCTTTTCAGCGGTTCCATGCGCAGCTGGGGTGCTCCAGTTGCAGAAAAGGATTGCCAAATGGCCAAAATATCGGTCTGACTCTTCTCGCTTGCTTTTGATGCTGGTTTTTGTTCTCAAGATGTCTCCACCATGGCTTGAGAGGGAAGGTGGGAAGGTGCAACATTTACCTTGGATCGTTGACTGGTCCACTTGGCTCTAAGATGGAACTGGAAGGACGTCGTATGGGAGAAATCCTTGTCTTTGGAGGTCAAAGTCTCATGTCTTGATCCTTTCTAAAAAGGACCACGTCGTTTGGGTGTCCACCTTGCGCTACACGCTACGTGTAGCAGCAGCCATCAGTGCCATCAGTGCCAAGATTGATGTTGAGACCTTGAAATTCTAACAGGCCTCCTTTGGTTTGTAGGCTTAACAAGCCTTCAATCGTGACCTGTTGGAAGGTCATGGTAAATGTTTGTGTTATTGAAACTGGGCACGAAGCGCCCAACTTTGTGTGAACAGCTGCACATGGCGGAGGGGAAGTGCCGACCCGGCGGAGAAGAGCAAAATGAACACAAATAAGATGCCGACCGGTAAATTCTATTCAGTTACTTTTTCTATAGAATCTCATTGATGTGTCTTTTTCTTTTTATCCTCCGTACAAGCATAAAATAGATGCCTAGCACTGAATGCCGATGCAAAACCATCTAACCAACAATTGACGGTCTCCCAAAAAGACAGACACCTCCGCTTGGGCGCGCCGTCGCCCCCGACCAGACCAGGCCATCGATGCTGAAACCGCCCTCCAGGCCGCCCATCCCGGCGGTTCTGTTCCGGTTCGGTCGCCGTTTCGTTCGCGTTTCCCCGCGGGCTCGGTGTGGTTTCGGTTGGGGGGGGGGTGGGGGGATCGGTTGGGGACCGGGATCCATGGCAAGCAGCTGTTAGATGACGACGTCGTCCCAAAGCGGGACGTTCCGACTCTCGAAGCAAACAGCACCTGTTCAATGCACCTTGTTCCTAGTAGCTCCTTGTTCCTAGTTGTTTCAGGTGTGCTTCACTCGCTCCAGTGGCTCCAGGTGAAAGAAGTCGAAGAACGACTCCAGGCGAAGAAGTCGGGTCGTTCCTCCGCCGATCGGGTCGTTCCCACCTCCGTTCATCCGGATCAAACAGATGGTGCAAGGAAGCTGTGTTGTTTTTGCTGCCCATGTTTGTTGAACATAGACTAGTACCCAGACTATGTGGGCGAGTAGAGGGGACCCAAGTTACAGAGGTCTATAGGAGGTTGGGAGTCACCAAACATCGACAGCTGAACCAGCCGGGAACTGTATGATGGTGCAACGAAGCTGTTTCCTGCTAGCAGAGGTGCCCAGAAAACCGCCGGATTTGCTGGACCACAGGATGTGTGTCGTAATGTGACTCAAAAAAGGGAAAAAAGGTGGGCATCTTCCGTGGACTGGCCACGCAGCTCCACGCTGGTGTCAGGAATTGTGTGCAAGATGTGTTCAAGATGCACTTGCTATGCACTTAGAAAGTCCTTTTGAAGGCAATCTTTAGTTTAATGGTGGAGAAAGATACCTGTAAACCTTGCAACACCGAATCTTACTGACCTTACAACCAAGACTCCCCAACAAGGTTTTTGACCCTAACAGGAGCAACTGGGCAGTACTGTACCAGGAAAAGCCGTTCATCAGCAAGCCACCCCACACTACGGGCAAGACCTCGAATTCTCCATGTCGTTCAGGATGGCACGCCCTTTCTTGTTGCCCCACTTGAAATGATGGGGTATATAGCGATGTAGAGTAGACACCCAGTGCTGGCCAGTCTGATAACAAAGATGACAGACAAGAAGCAATGAACACAGATATAATGACACAATGACAACCCATGACAACACCGCATGTAGTAGCAAGGGCATCGCTACTAGTGGCAAGAAGCTACTAGTAGCAAGAAGCTAGTAGGTTGGAAGCCATTACTACGAGTAACTAGAGAGCTTCTTGCTACTAGTAACAAGAACAGCGCTATTAAGCACAACACGTCGCCATTTTGACACAGCTTCCGATTTTCCGGAGAATCCGTGTCGACTCAGTCCCCACTTTGCCGTGGGACTCAAAAAAACACAACACTTGACCGGCTGAAGCAGGTACATGGACGCCATTAGGGGCTCCTGGCATCGCTACGAACGGAGCAAGAACGCTACTAGGGGCTCCTGGCCGTACTACTAGGAGCAATGTTCACAAGCCGCAAAGAGCAGCAATATTTACAATCCCTAAGGGATCCAGTCGTACCTTCTCAGGTACGGTGATGTGTTGGACAGTCTTATGTAGGTGCCAGGAGGGTCCAGTTGTACTTTCTGAGAAGGTATTTGGATCGTTAGGGTATTATGTATCTTCAGTATTCAGTATATTTTGAGTATTCCATGTTCCCGGACCTCTTTGCTTTCATGTTTGCACCTTGTCTCCACCAAACCACACTCCCAGCGTCGGTCTGAACGGCGTGTGTTCGAAAAGCGGGCTTCTTTTTCGGTCGGGAGAGAGGGTGTTTGTCGGTCGTTTGGTGTTCTTTCTTCCTGTCTCCTCTTTGCCGGACCTGAAGGTTGCGTGTGCGTCACACCGAAAAACGACCACGACCACACGCAGCACCTTCCACACAGCGCCTGGCGACTCCATCTTCGCAGAAAACGGAAAACGCCCAAAAGGGCGGGGCCTCAGTGGTTTCGGTCGCAATGCCAGGCCTTGACTGTGGAGATGAAACAGCTTGAGGTGCGGGATGTCCAGGGGACACGGATTCGGATGGTGGACCAAAACCTGGGAACGGTGCAGATCGGGTGATGTCTGTGTTTTGTTCCTTTGTAACCCTCTAGTACTGTAGCGATGCCAGGAGCCCCTAGTAGCGTCCTTGCTCCTAGTAGTACGTCTAGGAGCCCCTAGTAGCCCCCTGCTGGAAAAGATTGTATCACTTTTTTCCATTCTTTTCCCATCTTCCTTAAGCAAATCCACGATGCGAAGGATGGCTATTTCAGGAGTCCTGTTTCGAAAGGATTCCAGTTCAGAGTCATGATCTGCAAGTGAGCAGTTCTTGCCAAATCCCGATGTCCAGCCATCTTATGTTCCAGCGTGCGTATATTCCTTTTCACCATCCCAGCTTGGGTTCCTGAAACGCTGGTCTCTTGTTGGACTTGCAAGCAACCAACCCAGTCACCCCCCACATCTCACGGCCGAAACGCGCCCTTCCAAAACCCACACCTTCATCTCCCGAAAGCGCTGAGGGAAAGATGAAGCACTGCGCCCTGGAGGCCAAACGAGCAGAGCTCACGGAGAAGGACCGATGTCCACTCAACGGACGAGGCTTTGGACCTTGGTGAAAACCCCCCCCAACAAGGGATGGTCAAAAGGAGACACGAAAGAAACCAGGTTTCGCTGAAGACCTGGATCTTCCGGCTGTTTGCCGTGGAAGTGATCATCTTGGAAAACACTGCAGATGCTCAAGAAGTTCAATTGATCATATGGAGCTTTGCCAACTTCCCGATTCATCTTGGAGTTGGATCCCAGACATGCTTGCACAGTTGGAAGATCCAGACATCCCAACTGCTCCTCTTGCCGTTAAGACTCTGTCACAGTCAACGGCTTTTGGCACTGTCAGGAGCTCAAGCCGTTGCCCGAAGACCTGAAGGTCTACAGACAGGCGCGACGAAGCCACTTCGCAAGCTCGAAGAGCTCGAAGGGACTTAGGAGGCAGGCAAATTTCTTTTACCTCGACTTTTTCGGAGGTGGTCACAATGAAGGGATGTGTTTTGCATGTTCAATTGTTGTTTTTGAAGGAGAAGATCTCCAGAGTCCAGATTCGATCTCTTTCTCTCTCCATTCGGTGTACCCGTTGGCATCGCGGAGACGACGTGTTCAGAGCCAGACGACGAGACGACGCCCATCGGTGGTCCGAGGAGATCGTTGGTGTCACCTCACCGCCGAGTGGGGGTCACCGTGGCACGTTGCGTCGAACCTTCAAAGCTGGGCTGTGAGCTGTTGCATGGTGTTGCCCTGCCCAAAGACACTGAGTCAGATGCTGCAAACACCTGGGGGGTTGTCTACCAGGACCCTCCAACAGGCTGTTTGGAGACCCTAACAGGTGGTTTCGGGGCACCTGTTGTCACCAGGAAGCACCTGTGAAGTCGGGTGCTGGTATGGCTTTCGTCGGTCTTTGGCCTTGATTGGGCTTCGAGTTTCTTCCCCTTTTATAGCTCCGTTCATGTGTCCTTCGAGCACTGGATGCACGTCCTGCCGAAGCCAACATCTTCGACCAGGTGGGGAAGATGTTCATCCAACAGCCCAAGCCGGATCTCGCCAGGCTTGCCACCGGAGTGGGAGCGCCATGGCGCCATCGTTTTGCGTCGTAGCTAGCCTGTGCTAGCTAAGGCCACAGCCAGATCCCACATGACATGGCTAGTGCATGCTGGTGCACTTGCTAGTGCCAAAAGCCCACATGGGTCTACCGAGCTGCCCATCCACTCTCAATTCTCAGAATGATGAAGAATGTCCATTTCTTGCTTCGAAAAAAATAGTTTTAAAAAAACTGCTTCACCGAAACAAAACAAAAAAAGAGCGCACAGCCTGCTCAGCTCACTTCTCACTTCCACTACCTTCGGGACCTGGGCACCGGTCCGACAACAACTGCGGTGAGGTCGTTGAAGGCACAGGTGGCGGTGAAGACCTTGGAGGGCCAACAACTGCGCCAGGTGCACCGAAAAAGCACCGCCCCGGAGGGACCGGACTCGGACTCCGGACATGGAGATGGGACATGGACAGGGGAGGTTACTTGACGTTCGATGTGTTTGGTCAACACGTCGGACATGTGATGTTCTGTAGAAATGGTTCAAGGTTTCTTTAGCCGTGCTTTTAGTGGTTTCCATATGTGTCCATCGTTTTAGGGGAAAAGCCAGTGACCCACTCCCTCACTTGGAGTCCATTTGAAAAATACTGCTCTATGGACATATTCCTGATATTTACGCCTACGACCTTCTTTGCGTGGTGGCATTGCGTGAGGTTCGTGTGGCATCTTGTACGATTTTGAGCGAGGTATATGTTCAATGTCCCGCAGCACCCATTGACGTGGAAGAATGCCGGATTTCCCCATTTTTTATCGGACGATACCACCCCTTAGCTGTTAAGGGGTGTCCATTAACCACCCCGACTGGGGGTCCTGGTATAAGAGGTGTGTGACTCTTTTTCAGGACCGACCAATCTTTTTTGCAGAAACTCAAAAAGCGATGTTCAGGAGAGAATCCACCGGAATCCACAGTACGTGAATTTGTAGACACATCCCTGGGAGTTTATACGAAAACTGAAGACATTCATTAATAAATCTAACACTTTTTCACTCACTTTTTCATGGATCCGCAGGAGATGTCACGTCCTTTCTCGTTCGATGGGAGGGTCCAGTCAGTCAGTGCCTCGTGTCGGCCCCAGACCCTGGGCAAGATCCAAGAGAAGGTGAAAAGCGAGGTGCCGGGCCCAATGGGAGCTTCGGTGGGATGACGGAAGTGAGGAGAGAATCCACGAAAAGTTGATTCTCTGAACTTGATTTGGCTCAGGCTAACCGGCTACTGTTTGATTTGAAAGTCCTGCCGTTGATCATGTCCAGAGCAGGTGATGCGTTTTGGATTCAGACCAGCCTTGGAGACAGGACATGAGCCGCAAAGAGGAGCAATATTTACAATCCCTAAGGGATCCAAGTACCTTCTTAGAAGGTGATTGGAGACACTGTTATGTAGGTTTTGGAGGGTCCAGTTGTACCTTCTGAGAAGGTGCGACTGGATCCCTAACAAATTACGATTATGATGATTTCTCAAAGATCTCGTGTCTTTTTTGGGGAGCATTGAATTTTGACCATCCCTCATATCAGGAAACGGATTTAAGTCAAAGGATACGAAAGGTAGATGTCCCGTGCGGCTATTTAGCCATATTTATAACCTGGTTGCAGGTGGTGCAGGAGTTCTTCCAAAGCTTCTCAATAATTCAGCATATTATTTGGTTTACTACTACCTCAGGCTGTTGGGTGCTTGGGGCCAAACACAAGACCAAACCAAGCTGGTCCTTCCGGGCATTGCATTGGACGTGAAACACCGTGGACATTGAGTCAGACACCGTCCATCGCATGATACGTACGCATCCGTGATACAAGGATCCGTGATACAAGGTCGAATGGAGACATGGTCCAATGTCGGGGACATTGTTCCGTTTTGCGACCAGTTCCCCACTCACCTGTGAAGAATGCATAGGGTTTTTTCCGGTCAACTCCATCCCGAATTCGGCGGAATTCGGCGGAAGTCCACGCGTCGGGGCGAAGTGACGCTGGGTTTTGGTGGTTTTCTGGTGTCCCGCCGGGCCAACCATGGGATCATGTTCCAGGAATGGTTGCCGTCTTATCTCAGAATTTCGAAGACCATCTAACACAAAGGCGATATGCTTCCTCCATACAGGACCGCAAGTTCTTCCACGTCTCCCTTGTTCCCATCTTGTGTGAATTCCTAGACCATCCATCTCTGAAAGAGTTTCCAGTCCCATGTCCCGTGGATGCTCATTCAGCTGAACCCCAACATGAGAAGCATGACGACCTCTTCTGCCAACTGAGGAGGACCCAAATTTGATCAAAAGTCAATGTATCCAATGTGCTATCTCACTCCAAATGTATTACATGTAGCAGTTACATGTACTCGTACCCAACATAATAAATGTATACATGCATGATCTGCCGTATCCACCTAAGGAGTCTTAGCCGCTTCCGCCCCTCTTTCTCTTCCGTCCTCGCTCCGCGCGGTTGCTCTGAGGCGAAGGGTCTCCAAGAGCTCATCGGTCCTGAGAGGCGAAGCCGGTGTTGGCTGGGGTGGCTCTAATTAGGTGGCCTCTTTTTGGGTGTTTAAACACATGTGTTTCGTGTGTGTGGGTAAGTGTTGGATATTCAGGTCGCTTCGCGACAACAACCGCCCACACCACTAACTCTCTCAGAGAGAGAGAGAGAGAAAGCGCAAAAGAAGTATCTATAATCATACTATTTTTTGGACCCTTTGATACCTTGTTTTGTTCAGTTATTTCTCACCTGCATTTGCAAGCGTTGTTGGATCTGTTTTTTGACCCTGCCTTGAAAGTGTACATGTTTCAGGGGTCCAAATCATATCAAACATTCTCAAACAATGCCTCCGAATGAATATATATTTTGGACAGCCTGAAAAGTGTGCAGTTTCATTGGGTCGAAAAGTAGAGTACATATGTACAATTATATAACATACAATGTGCATAAATGACACAACACTTGGAGATGAATGCAGCATGAAGTGGATGAAAATTACATATAGAGACGTGTCTATTTATAATCACTCTATCTTTGGACCCCCTTACAATTCCATTGGATATGTCCCTCCATAATCACCCCCGACCCTCTTTACAACTTGTTGGCGTCGGCGCGTAGACCCGGGGGGGGCGGTCATGATAACGGAATGCACGCCGGTCACGATGGAGTTTTGATCTCAGGTGGCTCCTTGATTCCTTTTCAGTTTTGTTTGGGTTTCGCCGTGCTGTCGCTTGCTTAACGTTGTGTAAGAAACCGAGAAATATATTTGGACGGTTTCCTTAGGATTCGGCCTTTTTTTGAGACGGTTTTTTTGTTCGATTTTGGTTATTGTGAGCGTCGAAAAATGTTTCGCTTATTGAAATTTCTTGAGCAGCGCGCAATGGTTGAGGAGGCGAGGAGGAGAGGAGTGACGGAGGAGGAGCAAGGCAGCTGACATAAATCTAACAACCCTAAGACCCTAACCTGACAGGTGGGGAACAAGACAAGTCAGAAAAGTGGAAAGGAATGTAATATTAAAATAGAAAAGGATATGAGAGGCTTTCCAACAATTTGTGTGGCAAATAATTTGGTTTGGAAATAGCGCCGTTTGTGATACTAAAGTTGCGTGCTATCACGGTCAATAATCGGGCTTGCAAAAACTTGTTGTTGTTTTTTTTATTGCCCATATTTGTCAATATTGTAAAATTTGAAGAAGGAAATGACAGACAGTGGATATTATTCAAAATAAACATGTACAAAGGGATCTGATACTATGTAAATATTGCGACATTAATTGGTGTTTGCATTCAATAACTAGACAAAATCATGCATGGATAATTGTGTCTCTATTGAAACTTGGTGGCATGGAGTCTTAGTATTTTGCAAGTCTTGGTGGCATTTGAACAGGAAAAATGTGCAAATTTGAACAAACCCTGGAATTTGAGAACCCGGGAGCAAGGCTCTGATTGCAACTGAAGCCTGAGAATTTGGAGTTCTGTAGGGCTTTAGTTGTGCTAAACGAGACGCTTTGACTTATTTTAAAGTCAAGGTTCTCAATGGCTTTGGTGTCAGACCTTTGGGGGGTGAAAGAAGTAGCGTTTCTCGTTTGATCGCATTGGAACAAACAAAGCTCAAGTGAAACCTCTCAAGTGGATCTCTCAGCTGAATGCTGGCCCTTTGTGCGAGGTTCTCTTTGGATAAGACAAGCCCCAAGTGAAACCTCTCAGGTGAATCTGTCGGCCTCACATCAAGTCTCTCAGATGAAGGCCACTCAATGTGAAGGATCGCATTAGTACAAGAGTTACATCTATTGCACGCTAACCCCTCAACTCCTCACTTTGTCATATATTATATATAAACGTCTCAATTACTGTAAGTATGTCATACTTAAGTTACAAACATACTGACAGTAGCATTAAGTTGTTATCCTTCTTTCCTTACCTCCTTCTCACATCGTTGAACGATATTGCATTGTTGGTTCCACAGCTGTAGATTTTGGAAGCACTTTTGAAGCAAATCATCACGTTGCTTTGCTGAGTTCGATGATTTTTGAAAGAATTTCAACTGTGAGGGTGAACCTTTGTGAAAGTTTGCAAGACACGTTCATGAAAGTTTCATGAACCTTTCATGTGATTTTCATAGGCCATTGAACGGTTAGTGAAACTATCTTGAAACTCTCAAGGGCCAGTGAAATCTTCATGAAGCTTTCCAGGCGCTATGAAACTTTCGTGAAACGGTCAAATTCAATTTGCTATGAAAGTCTAGCGAAACTTTCACGAAAGTTTCATGAAACTTTTATGCAAGCCTTCACCAAACGTTCATACCACAGTGAAACTTTCATGAAAATTTCATTAGTCAAGGCTTGTCCCACGTTTAAACAGTTTACAGCCGGTGCCTTTTTGCAAAAAGTTGACCGATTCAAAAATTCAGTAATACTTGTATGTGAAAACTTCAGTAAACACAAACATTTCACAGAAAGTTTGCTAAAAATATCCTGACTCAAACTCAGTTGCAAAGCATGGTTCGTTGCTTGCGAGCTTTCCGGCAAAAATGAAAGCCCAAAACCAGCTGACGCATATGCTACCGTAATAAACTATGCAACCAGCTGATGCAAATGATGCAACCATGAAAAATATATTAAGACAGACTGCTGACGTGGTGATGCAAATGATACGACAATGAAACATACTCAGACACAGATCATATGTGAAAACCATGTGCTTTTGTTTCTCCATGTGTTCTCCAACTCTGCTCCTTTGATGCAGAATATGCATGTTTGTTCCCAAACGAAAATGGTCCCCTTAGCTAAGTAGCTATTATAGCAATGGATGCATAGTTACAGTTTACTGGTGTTCTGAGGGGTGTTGCTTGGTCGTTGGTGACACCCAGGTTTTGGTTGACCGCTGCGGAGCCGGTGAATGGTGAACTCGAAGATGAGAAGGTGTCAACTATGGCAGAAGTGTGGCCCCGAAGGTGACAACGAAGGAAGTCGCTCTTTTCATCAATTCCTTTTTTGGGTGCAAGATAGTGCGAACATACGTATCAGAGGTCCCCTCAATTGCGCATCGAAATGTCCAATGATTGTGTTGTATTAGAGAGCTAAGAGCTACATATTTCGTCATACATCAGGAACGTTTCAATTTCCCCTTGACTTTTGAAGATTTGTTTGCAAAATAAACATCATGGATAAAATAGTGAATATAATATAACATAACATAATTGTATAAAAATATTTCGATAAACCCATGAACCCCTCATCCGCTCCGCTACTGCCAGGATGAAACAGCTCTTCCAAGGTGAGACAACGGCGGACCAGTCTGCAGGCGCCGACCACGTGCTGGCACCAAAGCCTATCTCAGGGATCCAAGCAAACCACTATAGTGGATTCAGAGTAGATGGAGTAGATGGTACTGGCACCCCTACATGTCTTTTAAATGGGGGTCCATATAAACCACCCAACTTGGGGTAACTTGTGCCATCTACTCTGAAACCACGTTCCCAAGACTCAAACCATAGACCGAACGGTACGAGGCCCCTGGTTCCTGTTGTTGGTGCTAACTGGGATCTGCTGGGTATGAATCCACGGCCCAACTTCCTATCGAGATCTATCGAGGGAAATTCCTCTCTTCGCCACTGAAATGGACGAGACGGCGCTTCTGGAGACACGTTGCCGAAGCCATGCCGAACCTGGAGACACGTGGCAGCAGAGACACGTGGCATCCCGAAAAGACACCATTTGATGGATGCTCAGGCATGTAACACGTGAGTGGAAGATGAAAAAAATATCTGATCCGTCATTGAGTCCCAACACTTTGGGAACCTTTGTGAATTGCCTTGGGGATGCAGTGATTTCGCTTGCTGAATGCACTCCACCGTGCCACCACCGTTTGGGCGGAACAGGCGCACCCGCGCCGGACGCCAATGCCATGATGCCCATCTTCGGCAAGGCCGGATGAAGCCGGATGCAGGCGTCGAAGGCTTCTTCTGGGGAGAAGCATGCAGGGTAGGCATGAACAGGCCTATATCCTACAGGCCTATGGCCTACACCCCCTGCAAACCAACATGGAACCTGAGAATTGGCCGGTGCAAAACGATGTTCCTTTACCACCCGACGTGGTGACCTGGGGTTCCATCCGAATAGCAGGGGAGTATCCCTGTACTACAGGGTCGTAGGATGTCCCCATAGCTTTTGAGAGTAGAGAGGTAGCCATTCCACATTTGTCCACTACAGATTTTTCTCCGTTCAGGTCCTTTGGAAGACGACAAGCGAACGTGTGGTTCTCCGTCGGACAAAGACGTTGAAATTGTGACAGTAGTCACTCCCCCATGAGAAGGTCCTTCATGGTCCTTCTCAAAAATAAGCAACTGGAAGACTAACATGGACCCTGAAAACCACTGGTTGGTAGAGGAAAACCATCTTCCAGGGGGCCAGGACGTGGTCTATGTGAGTTTCGGGACGTGCAAGCAACTGCTCGACTGAAGTCTTCTTCAATCGACTGGGCTCTCGCCCTGTGGACCCGTCCCGATGGTCTCGGCCGTCCGAACTCTGCTCTGAACACGGCTTGATCGAACGTGGTGTTCAACTGGTGAATTCATGGTCCAAACTGGTGTGTGTTCCTTAAGTTCCGTGTTTTTTTTGCGCATGAAAGAAGTGTGTTCAAGTGGCAGAGTTGCTAAGTTTCCATGAAGTCTGGAGTGTCAAAACAACACCCAAGCAGAACCAACCAACAAGGTTTCATTTCCAAGTGACGCAGGTAAGAACCAGTTGTAACATGTGGCAACATCAACTGAGTTGAAGCTTCTTTGCAGACGAGGTCAATGGGGACCATTTCACGGTCCGTCCGAGAGGTGTCTTCTTCTTGTCGGTGTCGGTGGTTAGTGGTGGTGGTCGTGGTGGTGTTGTTCTTTCTCAGTTTAAAGCTTAAGCCGCCTCTACCATAGAGTGTAGCGTCCTTGCTCCTGGTAGCGATGTCCTTTGTTCCTAGTAGCAATGGTTACATATGATATGTGCCTTTCCACAAAAACAAAGCCTCTTCCATGGTCAACATTGATGTTTGGATCATGTTGGAGCTCAGTTGTTTCAGAGCAGCCTCCGCCAGGAAAAGCCAGCGCAAGAGCCGGCAGAAGGCAGGCTCCCGAACACGACGTGGAGTGTTGACCCAGGAACGGAGCTCGCTCCTGGGGAGGATTGTGGGTCCAAATTGGGTCGAGGATGCTGAAGCGTTTTGGGGTCAATCAACGATGTTCTATGCTTGGTGTCACTTAATGGATGTCAGTTGATGGCCGAAAGCGAATGAAAGCAATGGTTGAAACGGTGTTTTTTTCTAATGTATGTTAGAGGAATTTGAAAAAGATGCTCAAATCCACGAGCGCGGGCCCACCCCTTGGGAACACAGTTCATGGACTCACACCCGTGTGTTGCATGTGAATTCCTTAGATTCCCCAAAATCAAATGCCCGGCGAAAAACTGTGGACAGGTGTTCAGATTCTGACTGTAAGTGTTCAAGCTAGGCAGTGCCATCTTGTATCAGTAGGGGATCAGTCAAGCTGATGTAGTGTGCCTGTGATGTGTTTATTCGCATCCAGTGCATGTCACATATCCAACATTGCTGGTGTGAAATTCGTTGTGTAACCTTGTTGGGCGCCTTTTCACGGCTTCTGGGCTTCGTTGACCGCTTCCACAAGTGTTATCGTCTGGCCGAAGCTGTGCATGAAGAAAGACCGACCAGAAGTTTGTCAAGAAGCTTTCTGCTTTGTACAAGCCTGGAAGCGGAGCAAAGCTGTGCGGAACACATGTTGGAGGGATGGCGTGTGCTGAACGGAAGCATGATGCAATCCCTTGGCTTGGCGGCTTGGCATGATGCAGACCCCAATTTACCACCAAGAGCTGATCTTGGGTGATGTGAGAAACTCTGCTACATTTCTTCTGATTTGCCAGGCACCGCTTGTTGCAGTTGTTGCCTGTCCGTGTTTTCAAAAGAAGATACTACTGGTGTTGATTCCGTCATCCACAGTTGCCCTTTCCACCCACCGCAGCGATCGCAGCTCTTTCGACCCCTGGCAACGTTTCCGCCGCTCATGCTGTTTCTGCTTTCATCGATGTGGTTGTCCCCCCCCCCTGTGGACGTTGGTGGCGCACCGGCCTTTTTTTCTCACAGCGTTTGTCAAAATGGCCAGGTGAGGTGTGTCAATGAGTCGTTCTGCTCAAGACGATGTGCGATGGACTGATGGATGTTCGATGGTGTCCTTTCTGATTTGCTTCTGGCAGTTTAAACATCACCCAAACAGATGGCCCATGAGGGGCTTTTGACATTTGCACATTCCGTGGGGAGAGCTTTTAGCATTTTGTGAGACACAGCAAGTGCCTCACCAACCAATGCCTATGTGAATGCCTTTGACTGTGACTTCTTCTGTCCATGTCCGCGGAGGTGAGCAAGCGCCACAGAAGGACCCCGAAGCGAAGCCTGTGGGGATGCCGAGGGAATCAATGGGCATCGGTGGAGGGATGTGGAGGGTTCCGGTGAAACGAAGATATGGACAGCGGAGTTGTGACAAAGACAGGAACCCATATTTTTGGGCTTTACATGTTTTCATACTATGCTGGCTGCACTACCCGGTGTTCTTTGGCCGTTCATTCCTTTTGTTATGTGCACAATTTTTTCTATAGTTTCCCATTGGCCATTGGCCAGGTACCATGCCATCGTGGTTTACAAGTTCAAAAACTCACATGGAACCCTCGCAAGTTCCATGTCATTAGAATGATGAGAACGCTTGGCCCATACATCTCCCAAAACGGTTGATTTTAATTGGAAACAAACAAGCGCATTGATATGGGCAAATTCTTCCCATGCCGTTTCAGCGTGTCCTTGTACTCTCCACCGTTCTTCTGCACTGCTGAGCTCTTTGGAATCGATGCTTTCCTCACGAGAAGAGCTTGGGACGGGTGTTCGTCGCTGATGTTCAGGATGGACCCTGACTCTTTGACAGGTCAGTTCTCCTGATCGGTGAGACGGTTATTGACCTACGCACCGAGAATCTTCGGAAGGTCGACTCACATTTGCTCTTTGGACGATTCGGACTAGGTCTCCGAACCAACCCCAAATGGATCGACTGATCGGTTCGGAGACCCCAACCCCAAAGGTCTCCGGACCAGGTCTCCAGGATCGGTCTCCGAACCAACCCCCCCCACCTTTTTGACATCCTTTGACCGATCCATGCGGCTTTGGCTGCCTCTCTTCGCTCGCGCGGTCGTGTCCCGCAGGCCCCCACGGCGGTGGAGGTCTGAAAGCCACTTCCTGGGGGTTAAAGCGTCACAAATCCGGCAGAGACGGGAAAGACCGGAGAAAAGGAAAAACCCATCTGAGAGTGTCCGAGATGTCCTGCGAGTGTCTTCACGCTTCTTTTTTGGGGGGGGTAAGAACATCTATGGTTTTGGATGGAAGACATGTCTTTGTTTTCTTTCTCCTGAAAGAACCGTCAGGCATGCATACAGTACTTGCTTCATTCTTTCCATCGATCTTGCTATATCTTGCTGGAGTGGCAACATGTGGCAACTAATCAAGCCCGATGGCTGTCAAAGCAGTGACTTTCCAATGAACAACCCGATGTGACCAGTTTCTTGAACCCCGGTATCTTTGGCATAATCAGTCTGATCCACGTTCTACTTCACTCAAGAAACAGGTTGTGCCTTCCAGTTCGAAGAACCACTTAGCTCATCATGTGCTTCGATGTCTTTCCATCTGTAAGTCCCAAAAAAGACCTTAGCTCATCCTCATGGAACCAGCCCGGACCCCCGGACCCCCCGGACCCCTGCCAGCGAATTCGACCTCTCCATCCGAGCGACCGGAACTCACCGCGGGAGCGAAAAGACACGGCGGCTCCGACGGGGGATGGACATGTTCCGAGGATGTTCCAATTTGCAAATGGTGTGATAGGAACCGTGATCTTCCAGGAGATATTCCAGGATTGCGAATGCCTCTCCATCCATTACTGTATAATATTGTTGTATAGATGTTGTATCATTGTATCTTACAGTTGCATATGCACTCAAACTTTCGAAGAAAACAAAACATCTGAACAGTCATCTGAACATGTTTGAAATCCGTTTCTTCAAGCCCAGTTCTTTCTTCTGTTTTGTTTCGGTCGCCACAGCCCAGGGCGGGGCAGTCGCGGTGGCAGGTGTGACGGACACATAGTGCCCGAGCCTCTTTTGTGAAACCCCTAGTTCTGGGGGTAAAAACCATGTAGAAGACATGGTTTCCTGTAGATTTTCCCTCAAACCAATCCATTGTTGATGAACATTTTGACTCAAACGAAGCGAACACCATCAGACATCGAAAGAGATACAGGCTGCTTCCAAGAGAGAATGTCAATGACACTGCCAGATACCCCTGAGAAGGGTGTCTCAAGAGAGAATGCGGCATGCCGAGATACCTGATGTCTACACTTTTTGAAACAGCCATATGAATTTAATAGCTCCTGGTATAGCTCCTGACAGGTGTAGTGGGTGTGACTATTCTCCACTAGTAGGTGGGTGGAGGCTGGCAAAGAAATGCACCACTTTGTCGAATGACATCTACGGACATCGTCGGTTTCTAAAAATTATGTTTATCTTAGAGCAGTGCACTGCAGTGCATGTTGTGTTGCTTTCCAGGCTGGACATCTTGTGCTGTTGCTTGGCTGAACGTTTACTCTGCCTGTTGGAGGCGGTTCAGACTTGCTGCCAAAGCCGTGCTTTCACGGGACGCGGCTTGGGGTCCGGACCGGCGCGCGCGGCGCCGGCAATGCAGCTGAGATGGCGATGCGGGAGCTTGGAAAGCGGATTCTTTACCAAGCAGACTCGCGGGAGGAAGTGCTACACAGGACTGAGTGGTGGTGTTCGATGCTTTTATACAATTTTACTAGGGATGATAGAACTTACTGACTCACATTTTGACACATTTTTCGTTCGTGAGTTGAAACCACCGACCAGAGGATGATGCTTGAGGAGTACATGGACTATTCCGTGTGCGTCAAGGAGAATCCCACCCGCGAAATGGGCGCTTTACTGGGCGCCACGAGCCTGCCGATCGTCACGGCGAATGGGGTGAAGATCCTAGATCTGGTGAATGTACGAGGACTTTCTACGAGCAGTGAGGGAAATATGTGTGGGAAGAAGGCCAAGATCATTAACATCCTGGAGGCCTATGGCTACAAACCTCGGAGTTCCCCCTTCCCGAACACTTCGAACGAGATGTGGTTCTCGCTCCGAGTTCCAAGGAGCTTTGTTCAGGCCAACATAAGCTTGGTTTGAATGATATTGAATGAATCGATGAGCCGAAAAGGTTTGAGGCTGCTGTGACGCATTCATGTGTCGCTCACCTTTGATGATTCGGTTGGTTGATGATTGGGTGTGGATGTGAGATCTGTGTCGTTTTTCAACGACATGGCTTGGCCGTGTGTGTAGTGCTAGGTGGGATTGCTTCACCAGATCCGTTGCTTGGGATGGATGTGTCGGTGGGTCCAGCCCTGCAGGGCTTCGCATAGCAGGCATAGCCATGTGATCAATAAATGTGACCGTTCTCCAATAGCTCCTTACGAGCGGGACTTTCTGCAGCGGGAGCCAGCCAGCATTTCATGGGATGAACTTTGACTTGGTGAGAGTTGTTCCTCAAGAGCGATAAAGTATGTGCTTTCCAAAGATCCGCATAGATCCGCAAGACTTCCAATGATGGGACACTGGATTCTCATGTCCTTTGGAATTTTGGTTCCTCGTGCGGAGCCTTGAGACTTCAATTGAACATAGGAAGTTGCTCAACAGTTGCTGTTGGCCCATTTCCTTGTACCAGCCACCGCTCGTATGTATCCCGTGGGAATGCGGCAAGCTGGCAAAGCCTCAGCTAGTTTTGGGTGCTGTGCTGTTGCCAACCTAGATGACAGGACCATGCGTAGTAGGCCCTCTTTCACACATGAATAGACTATAGAACCAACGCTCTCGGACACTCTCAAGCACAAGATGGCAGGAGTCTCCGCAAAGGTTAAACATGGGGCTTGGCGAAAGATTCGCACATTATTTGTTTGCGGAGAGCAGCAGCTGTTCAGTTTCGGACGACTATGACCACGTACCCCTTGCCACGATGGATCCAGTGATAGCAAATTTTTGGATGTACCCAGTTGGCCACCGCATTGTTTCACGCGCCATGCTCCATTGCGTATGCGACACAACAAAGCTTCGCACAAGTCGATCGCACAAGTCAACATGGGCTTGCGATCGGTTGACAAGTCTGATGACACGTCTGGTGTCCAATTCCAAAAGGTATTCCAATCCTGACTGTGCGCATAGGATCACAGGAACCTGTTGGCAGCTCTCAAGCAGCTCTCAAGCAGCCCTTTGTGGCTCCAAGCAAGTCACAAAGACATCACACACACCACACAGGCCTTTGCAAATAGTCGAGCTGAAGAGGGGAGAGAGAGAGGGAGAGAGACTCCGTGGGAACTGAAATGTCAAGGATCAGATCCTTTAATAACTTTGATATGGAGCTGGTTTAGTCTCTGATATGCTACAGGCTCGCCAGACGCGACCCTCGTTGGAAGTTGTAGCTGAAGACCCCTTTTGGCCCCCCACCCGGTAAACAGGTAAAGGCGTCCTGTTCCCCCTCAATCCCCTGAACCCAAAAGTCAGTAGCCTGACATCCTGTCACAACCACCTGGGCCAGCGGCGCCGTGTGCGCCAGTGGCAGGATGGCAGAATCAGGCGAGGCAGAGTTCATTCGTCACCCGCAAAGCGGCCTTGTTCGTTTCCCCAGAGTTCAAGACCATGCAGGTTTCCTGGTTGAGAAGCCAGAGCTTGCCTCTAGTGGGAACCGACCAAATCCCTCACAGGTTACCCCTGCTACTGTCCAGTATGGATTCCAGAGAGGTGTTGCCTCAAGGTTCTTGATCAAATTCCAGGCGCCTGGCGCCAGACCCTGTCCTTCTGCAGACTTGTCACATCGCGGTTTCAAGTCTAGGCGATGTGACCTTGGCTGCTTTGAGCGTAGCTTTCCTGTTCGGCATCCTGGGCTTGTGTGGAGGCCAAGAAGGGAAGCAACCTGATGGAAAGCCAGAAGGGGTAGACACTGAACATTGACAACTCAAGGCTTCATAAACAAAGCCGTTGCAACCGTAAGCCAAAGATCCACAAATTATCTTCGAAGGCTTGAGTGTATATGTTGTCCAATATCCCGTCACTGTTTGCTCAGATTGGCTGTTTGAAATCTTAGTGTTCGGACTTCTCCGTCAACGAAAGGGGCGGGCTAAGGCGCGCGGGGATGAAGTGGGATCGGATGTTCGGGATCTGAAACCTGAGTTCCGTCTTCGGTGCCGGAAGGAAGGAGGCACCTGTAATTCGGAGTTCAACCAGTGTGGACTGAGATGACCATGCAAGGTACATGGTACAACATGTTACGTTTCGCCGTTTAGCTCGGAATTATGTCCATCTGCGAAGCAGGACTGAGGAGCCCAAGATCGGGCGCAGTGGAGGAACCAGGATCCATGTGTCCCCACTTGCATGTTGCTTTCACACCGAAAACGCCATGAAACCACAGATTGAAGAGGCTCCTGGTTGGAGAAATCATCCATTTGCTTGCCAAATGTGGCCCAAGAAGTGCTTTTTGGGCAGTTGGCGATTCTGAATTTACCCCACTATAGATTCCTTCCTTGGGCTCACCCACAAACCGCCTTTAAAACCGCCTTCCTTTGGCTTGAAAGTACTCCTTTCGCCGAACTCCCGAGAACCGAAGCTCCACTCGAGGTTCGTCTTCTTCGGGATCAAAGCCAGAGCTATCTCAGAGGAGGTGCGGGAGTAGCTGTAGTGTGGTCGAGATAGGGTTACACCTGGGATAGACACACTCCTTCAAAATCATCATGGAAGTGGAAAGCAATATGTTTGTAGAGGAAACTGGTCATCCAAGGATCTCTACTTTATGTATGCCGTCCTCCAAAGGTCATCATCCCTGACATCCATTGGATGTATGTGTTAGACATACCCAGTACAGTATAGTCTTCAATTCACCTCCGCGCAGTCACTGGAACCGCATCATCCCCGGTATTCCCGGTTCGCTCGGAAAAGCCTTTGGCTCCGGCAGGAAGAGGAGCAGGCAAAGCAGCCACTGGGCAATGATTGGGAATTGCGTAACCGCAGGCGGCTACAGGATCACTTATGAACTTGCACTCGGTCGGCAGTTTGGCAACTGCAGGCAGTTGCAAGCTGCTGTTCTCCCCGGATTTGAAGACTTTGTTGGTGAATATGGTCCAAGGGTCTGATCTTGTTGAAGGAAGTGAACCATGCGCTTGTTCGGATTTGAGGGGGTCCATAAATCAGTGTGCGAATGATTTAACGATGCACTGTAGGCGAAGGGATTCAAGACCAAACTCTCCATGCTTCATGAGGACGTTTGGACCGGCCGAGCAACTTGAGCAACTTGAGTTACCAAGGTCAGGTCTCCCAGGGAACCGCACACGGCAAAACCTTCCTTGGCGGCACCGCACAGACTCGGTGCATGGACCCACATCCAGTCGCAAGCTCCGCCGGCTGAGGGCAGCTCAGCCACGGTCTGGGGGCCCCAGGAAGGTGTGGAAACCGTCTGGGTGAACCATGGTGAAGCAAGCCACTTCTCGTGAACATCGGCCGAACGCCCAAGTCTAGACCTCCAATGAGCCTCCCCTGGGCACCGCGCCGATCCAAACGGGGGTAGAGGACGCGAAGCGAACGGAGCCATCGGGCATCGCGACTCGAACGGAGCGATCGGACGCGACTGGGAACCAGGATCTGATCTGTCTCCCAGGCGCCGCAACGCGCTGGACCGCATGCAGCGCGGCGCCGCGCGCGCGGGCGACGAGGGCGAAGGAGGTGCTGAGGAGGCCTGGGATTCGTTCGAAGACATGGCCTACATCATGGCCGAAGTCGTTTGTCTTGGGAGGCCACCAGCTTACGAGTTGGAGTGAGCTATAAGCTATAAATATTAAGCTAAATAATGGCGAGCTATGGCTTGCTGTTGCTAGGCAAATCGCACTACTGAGTTCGTTACGACCAGAGACCAGAGACCCGTGCGTTGCGCATCGCCCTGTATGTCTAGCATTTCCTATGTTGACATAACTGTACATGTCCAAGATATGGATTGTGTTCAAACGTTTCTAATTGCTGCAAAGTGACCAAGTGACATGTTTCATGGGCGACATACATTTGAGATATTCGTTTTGAAGCAGGCCCCCACGAGACTACATTGATTCTGAACATATTGCTGCAACATGGGTGAGACGCACTTTTCCAAAGACTCCGGTGGTGAAAGATTTGAACGTTTTGTTAAACATAGGCGAAACACTCTTCTATGGGTCCTGATGGCAAACAGATATAAATAGTCCTGTATGTGTCCAGATGATATACATGCAATTGCTTACTGTCTGAACCACATCCATGTGCGCACCCGACAAGCCATATGTCCCTCTTACCGAGGTGATTCATGTGATGACATTAGATCAATGATCCCAGCTTGATGGAAGGTGAAGGTCAACATACTTGAAGATAACTCAGACTTGGGCATCTCAGACAACTTGCTACAGCTTCCAGCTGAAAGTCAATCTGTAGACTTCACTCAGTGACCAGGACAGGGGCCTGATCCTCCATGTCCGGTGCAGGCGGCCCAGGGGGCGCAGGCTGCCAAGAGGACCAACCCGGCAAAGGAAGCGAAGAAACAGGCGGGTTCAGCATTCATGGACGAACTCCGCAGCTAGCAGTTCAGGGTTCGACCCTTTTCAAGGGATTCAGCACGATGCCAAGTCCACAATCAATATCTACGATACCAAGTGAATAGGGGTGGGGGGTAAGGGGGGGGGTCAACGCAACCCCTATCCAAGTGATGCATCTCAACCCCTATCCAGGCGCTGCATCGGGTCGACTCGTGGGCTTGGTGGACACGGAAATCCGCCAGGAGAAGCGCGCTCAAAAGCAGGCGGAGCAAGAGGCGCCACGGGGAGCCTTTAAGAGTTACTAGTAGCTCCTTGTTACTAGTAGCGATGCCAGGCAACAAAAAAGACGTTCTAAAGGCCTGCAGGTCCAGCAGTCCATGCATCCGCCATTTGTGGGAGGTCTCAGGTCAAAGGGGTGTCCCATTGCTTTCGGACGTCTGTGTGAGCAGCCCGAAACACAGCAGTTTGACCTCACTGTTGGGAGATCTTGTCAGTAATCTGGGAGTTGTACTCTTGGGTGTCTTCTCAAGAAATCCAAAGGAACGGAGGAACGGGCAGGATTTGTTGAAATACGGGTATTTGTCAAAAGAAGCTTGTTGTCAGGCTCAACAGCAGAAGCTTGAGAAGGCCAGTGAGAAGGCGGTCAAGTGCTCCCAGGGCATTGAAGGGACTTCGCCGGTCCTGGGCGGATGCTCTGAGGGAGGGCAGGGCCCGGGATTGTGAGAATGGACACGTTGCTCCACAGTGATGTCTTTTTTAGCCCGCTCCCCTCTTCCAGCTACTAGTAGCATCTAGTAGCTTCTTGTTACAGGTGAAACGATTCCCGGTGAAACGATTCTCCTTTTTCTGCGAAGGGGTCACGGCCGGTCTCGATTGCGAATGATCTGTCCAGGTACAGTGAGAGGCAGCGAGAACGAGAGGCCGAACGCTTGAGGAGGGAAGAGGAAGATGAGAAGGCTCAACGAACGCGCGTTTGGATGTGCGATCTCGCATGGCCCAAATCTTCCCAAAGAGCTGCATACGAACTTCCCCAAGGCTCCGCTGAGGCAACGCCTGTCCTTTTCGGGATGCCTGGAATGTGTGCTTTGGGCCCCTCAGAGGCCAGAGAAGAGAAGCAGAAACAGGAGAAGGAAGAGATGGACAAGCGGCTCGGTGAAGGACTCGCGAATGGTTTCTGTTGGTTTCTTTCCTTTAGGGTCAAATGATGCTAAAATCATCCCAAGTGACGGTTTTTATGGCTAGTTTGCAAACATGTTCGTGAGCCAAGACTTCTGGGGTGAGGGTCCTAGGGACTGGTGAGTAGGCGTTGACCAACTCGTTGATCAACGGACGAGGGAAGAAGTGGTCATTTGACTGGGGTTGGTGCATTAAATCCTGGTTCAATGGGGTTTGGCATGGTTCAACAACCTGTTGCAATGAGGTTTAACATGTTTCAACGACTGTTGTAAGATGTTTGTTTCATGGATTTATTGTGGTTGACATGAACTTACAAAAAGCTTGGCGTAGCTAACAGCTATATGGCTACACGTGGACAAAAAGAATAATCCCTCTCCCTTTCGCGCTGGAACTCAGAACCGCAGCATGGAACTCAGCGGAGGTGGAAAGAAACGTTTTCCGTGGAGAAAGAGGGTGAGGCCCGCCATGTCACCCGCATGCCGATAGTTCAGCATCTCGCTCCGGACTTGGCTCGGAGGTGTCGTGCGTGTGGGGCTTCTTGTTGCTTCTTGACGCTGCTCTTAAACTTGCTGCTAGTGTTTTAGTAGGTGTTGTTGCCTTTTTGAGATTTTTTTCGGCTGAACACATCAGATTAATATCATATTGGCCACCCAAAACCACCTGTTGCAGCGTCCAAGTTCGTTTACTTGCCCGTCAGGGTGTGTTCCGTGTTCCACCATCAAAAGCCTTCGTCTTCGCGTCCGCCAGGATGATGGCACCTTGGGGGAAGGGGTCGTGGAACAGCGGGAGGACCCAGCTGTCGGTCGTGGTCGAATGGACCGGGCCTTGTGCAGTGCCCCCTGAGTGCGGCAAAGATTTAACCATTGATCGTTAAAGGCCTTGAGGGGGGGTTTAATGGGATGCAATGAAGTGGTGCACAGGTCTTCTGATATGGGTTTCACTGCACAGGTCTTGTGATATGGGAGAAAAACCCTGAACAACCTGCACAGGTCTTGTTTCGACATCTTCCTTGTTTAAACGAGTAGAAAGCACACCAGAACGTTACCACCAGCAGCCGGGGCTCGTACTACGGCAGCTACTCGGTTGGGAGCCAGAGCATCGTCGCAGCTTTGGAACTGGTCGGCCAACGGAGCCAAGCATGGAGCAACCCATAATGAAGGGCATTCGCTTGAAAGTAGACGTCTACTGCAGTTGGCGTTTGCTTCAAATGAACGGCTGACCGCTAAGAGAATCCACCCCTCATCACCCCTGACCCTCTTAGCACCGGGAAGGGAATCTCTAAGATCGAAACCGAACCAACTGGAGCACCGACGGTGGCACCGACCGCTGCGGGGAACCGCGAGGTTCGTGGACTACGTGAAGCTTCGGAAGGTGGTGAACCTGGAGGCCGCCGGAACCGAAGAGCTGAGCAGTGAAACCGGGAAGAAACAGGGAAAGCCGGAAGCAAGCAGGGCTGCTGTAGCAGTGGGGACAAAAAGAGAGAGAGAGAGAGAGGAGACAAAAAGAGCGAGCGAGCGAGGGACGGAGGGAGGGAGGGAGGGAGGGTGAGAGGGAGGGTGAGAGTGAGAGTGAGAGTGTGAGTGTGAGTGAGAGAGAGAGAGAGAGACACGCAAAGGGAGATTGCCGCCTGAGAGACAGACGTTCGGCGGCATGTTTTGTGGACACGCGGTGTTACAAAAGGGACCTGGAGGGCCAAACGCAGACTTGGAAAAACGTTGATTGGCACGTGCCCTCAGTATGCAACCCTGCGGCATGGATCCCCAACGTGCCGGATGTTGTTGTGGTGAAACCAGAGTTGCAACCCTCATGTCACATGCGATGCAGGAGTCATGATGACACGCGCAAAAGGAGAAAGGTAGAAAAGTCCGCAAAGCACACTCGATATAGATATATGCACACATGAATACAAACATAAATATAAAAAACATTTGATAAAAATATCCAGGTCGTTCTGGAAGCCTGGCCATGGTAGCTTCGTCGGCCCTTCATTCGTCGACTGCGTTCTCATTGTGCAGGACCTGGCGGCCGAGTTCAGGATGCGGACGGTGCACGCCATCAAACGCTTAGAGGAGTGGCAGACGCGGTGGATGTGAAAGGCGAAGCGCGGCCAGGGACGTGTAAAAGAAGTGTGTTGGAGGTATGTGATGGAGGAACGACGATGAAGCCACATGTTACTTGAAAGCGACTTGTTCCCGCCCCTTCGCGCATTCATTCCACCCGAAGTTCCCGGCCCAAGGGAGAAGAAGGGGAGTGAAGCATCCGATCGATGTCCGACGGAGCCAGGAGTTGGAGAAGATGGGCCTGACATCCCAGTCTTGGTGAGCTGTCTGGGTCTAGATGACCGGTGGGTTTGGAGATTCCTACTTCCTTCAAATCAGGAACTGGGATGAACATGCAAACTTGTTGGCGATTCACATTTTAGGGATGTATATGGTAAGTTGCGACTACATATTTCACTTTTTCACAACACGAATGATGATCTCAGATGTAGCGGGCATTCAAAGCCCATCGTGTGATTCAATAAATTGAAAACTGACGGATTCCCAAGTCCTTGCGAAGAAAGACGTTCCTTCAAGAAACGTTCCTCGATGTTTGACATGACGAACTGCGTATGGAGATGCACGGGTCCTAAAACCCGCCAAGTGCGCATGAGAGACCTTTGTTGCGCTGAGCCGAAGATGTTCAATGTCAGTACGTTTCGATAACGGTTGGGGGTTCAACCCATACAGTTAGTTAGACAGATTTGTAAGTGTATTTATATTGCGCAGACAAACCTGCCTCCTACTCAAGGTTTGTGCACCTACTTGGTTGAGTTGTGAAGAATGTAGGCGGGTGTCCATTTGTGTTTCCCAGGCCTCACAAGAAAAAGTGTTATTTTGCACACACAGACATGTGTACCATGCACATGGCCCGTTGACCATGGAAGCGAATACAAGTTGAACCCTTCTTGTCCAGTGAGTTCACAATAAGTGACAGGAGGGCCTCAGTGAGCTTTCACTATATGTCCCGTGTTGGACGGGTTCACGTCCTTACCCCGCACATCGGACTACGCAGAAGGGTGAACTCGGAGGGAAGGCCACCGTCAGCTCCCAGGACGTTTGAGTGGCATCTTCGATGACAGAGGGAAGTACATCTACATCACCCTGGAGGAGATCGGACCTTGTCGGACATCGAACTGAGGCCCCCTTCAGCTCGACTTGGTGGTTTCCAGGATCTCTGTCGCGTTTTCCTGAGCTGTGGACGCTGAACCCCTAGGAAGCCATTTGGGAGACTTGGAGGAAATGAGAGAGGGAGGAAATCGTGTGACCCTCCGGGCCCTGAGAGGTCCGTGGAATCGGCAGGAAGAGGAGTAGCGATCGGACGCTACGAACGGAGCATGGCTGGGCATGGCTACTGGCAGCTAGAAGCTACGAACGGGGCTCCTGGCCTTACTACTAGGAGCAAGGACGCTACTAGGGGCTCCTGGCATCGCTACTAGGAGCAAAGGGCATCGCGATTAGCAGCTAGAAGCTACTAGTAAACAAGTAGAGAGATGTTGAGACCAGCCATGCTGACAGTGCTGACAGCCATGGCAGCCATTGCATTGGCATCAGGGTTGGCACGTTGTGGAGGATTTTTGAACGTAGACTGAACAGGTGGTGATCGCACAGCACAGGGACTCGCTGTCATGAAAGCAAATGAATCCGAAACAAAGTGTGGCTGTGTAGTTTAATTAGAGAGACCTCCCAAGCAACGACCGGAAGAAGGACAATAGACTCAATAGATCAGTCGATCCATTGGCTGGAGGTCTCCAAATTAAAATACTACACTCATCCCCTATATGTTTTCAGGATGTTGAGAGATTGGAACAGCCATAAATGGTGTTTGGCTCGCATGGTGGACAAAGAAAAACGGGTGCGACACACGTCCCGGGGATGGTGATGGAACTGTGAGGCTTTCCCAAAGTTCGAGGGTGTTCCCACGAGTTCCTTATGACATACAGTTGACCCGAATTTCCCCCATGCCCCCATATAATATGTATATTATATATATATATAGTAAGAATAGTATCATCAAGGTTTGGTCCTTTCGTTTATTTCAGGTGTGTTTCATCTTTGTTCTGTTTCCACGACACTTGGAGTTGTCCTTTACCTACTCCCCTTTGCTTCCACCTCCCTACTTCCGGTGCAAAACCTCACTCACCGGTGGCCTTCTCCAAATGGGTGAGGAGATGGCTTCTGTGGCCTCCTGGTTGAAGAAGAAGGGCCGCATCAACCGCGCTGCCTGGAGCTCCCAGCACGACCTGAGGTCCACTGGGTGAGGTTTAGCCGAGGGTGCGAGTCCTGCGGTCCCTACGCAGGGTGTGAGAAGAGCGTCACAGAGCTGGGCAGACCTGGGAACCGCTGGAAGCCAGATGGCTCGACCCCACCTGGGCTGGGCGCAATCGATCCGCTCAGCGCTCAGGATCTGGTGGCCGGATGCAACAAGCTCATCCGCTTGAATCCCACCGAGGAGGATCAGGCGAGGATCCGATTGTGTGTGAGGATCCGTAACCAAAAATGACGTTCTTGTTGCCTTACTATCTGCCTCAGCTTCCATGGATGTCAGTTTCAAGCCACTGGATCATTGAGTGTTGTAAGAGTTTGTCCTGGGGTTCCTTTGATTATTGAGGTGTTCGTCAGAGTAAGCTGAGGGAGTGTTCGTCAGCATCCATCATCGGCTTTTGGTCTGCCAGTGATGGGCAATGGAAGCAAAAAAAGGTTTGTGTTGTACTCTTATACTATATAGTATAATACAGTTCTTACAGTTTTTGTACTGTGATACGCAAAAATCCCAGCTCTTCTCATGCAGAACACTGTCCCCGGTCACCTCACAGGTCTCAGGGGTCACAGGTGAGCGTCATCCGGGCGAACTCCTCGGTCGGAGTGCTGAAGAGGAAGAGTTCTGACATGGAAGCGCCGAAAACCATGGTTTTTGCTGTGTGTTTTATTTGTTGAATAAGATATGGTCAATACTCCTTTTGATGAAATGATGTAAGAATCGGTATACGAATTGAAAGTCGAAATTCCGAAGGTGCTCATTTGAGGTGGGCTAGATTCATTTGATGAGGAACAACCCCTTATGGTTGGGAACCTGCAAGTGTGGAATCACGAGATCTTCTTCCCAGACTGTAGCTGCGGCATGGAAGCCACATGGATGGGGTTCAAAACCTGGGTCCAGAGAAAAGGAACCGAATGGACTACTAGGGAGGTCAACCTACCCTGCTTAAGCCCTGCTTTGGGGATCCGGGTTTTGACCCAGTACACGTTGCTCTTTGGGACGGCAAAACATGGTAAGACAATGTAAGACATATACCCGTGTTCTCTGCGTCAGACGCGGATTTCCCACACTGGTCCTACCGCGTCCTATTCGCTAGTTTTAAGATGTTTTAACCCTGGTGTTCCCAGGAAAGCCCAGAGCAGCTGTTTGCAGGTTGTGTCTTTGAAGCATTCTGAACACATGGTTTTGATTCGAGGTGTCCATGAGCGGTTGGATGTAGACAACATTAGACAACTCTTTTTGCCGACATTCCATGAAATTCCTATCCTCTAAATCCTACCCTTTTGGAGGCTGGCCTTACTAGGAGCAAGGCTCGCTACGAACGGACCAAGGACCTCCAAAGCATTTTGGGTCCCAAATTGGGTCAGCCGAACCCAACCGGCCGGGCGACTCGCGCGCGCGGCTTCGTCGCGCGCAGGCGAAGCTGGATGCCGAAGTGCTTCGGGTGGATGAAAGCCTCGAGCCAGGCGTGAAGACGAACGCCTGGGGGGATGAGCCTGTTTGGGGGTATTTTTGTCGGGTGATTTGTTGAGTTTCCCGAATTATGGACCGTTTCCCTATATGTTTGTTTTTCACGTGTTTTCTTTAAACAAGCGAGTCCAAGAGTGAAGAGAGTTTGGCGCACGGAAGATTGAGGGCATCTATAGTCATTGAACGTGTCGAAAGATCGCTCAAGTAGGCACCTTCCCTTGACAGCAGGAAATAGAACCAGATAGATCCAGACATATTCACCTGGAAACCCAAAGCACCAGAAACCAATTATGAATGTTTCCCTAAACAACCACTTTGTTATGTAAAGGATCTCAATTGTCCCATTGGAACAAGCATTTGTTTCTGGTTGTTTGAGACTCCAGGTGTATTTTTGTTCTACTAGTAGCTTCTCGGTAGCTTCTTGTTACTAGTAACGATGGCCTCCAACCTACTAGCGATGGCCTCCATGGCCTCCAACATAGTACTATAGTAGCTTCTGGTTGTTTCTGGTTGTTTGAGTTTACACAAGTTCTGAACGTTCCTGGTCTTTCAGCCTACGCCACAAGCGAGCCGGACTCGCTCAATCGACGTCGGTGACGTCGGAAGAAAAGTTGCCGCAAAACGGGTGTCCACAAGGGAGATTCATAAGATTTCGCAAGACACATCATGCAAATAATTTAACCGCCGCTGGCGTGTTCCGCCGGCTTTCCAGGTGGCAAGGCCATAAGGTAAACAAAAGCAGACACGCACATGAAAGACACATGTTTGTAGCAATTTGAGCACGGGTTTGGAAAGAAGGGGTAGAAAATGCCTGCAGTGGAACACAGGGTAGTTGTTTATCAAAAGAAGAGTTTGGCATCTTAGCGGACAGGTTGGAGGCATAGCAGGAGGAGGGTGCTCCGTGCTGCAGCCTTGATCTATCTTTGGGGCGTACGCTTCGAGGATGCAGGGTGAATGCGGGAGTGCCGTAGAGGATGATGTGTGTGCTGTCTTGGCATAGTAGAGAGGAGAAGAGGGGGGGAGGGGGGGGGGTAGCAAAAATCCGCGCGTAGGGGAAAGACTTACAACACAACAGCAACAGGAACATCCACAGAACACGCCGGCTAAAGGGCGGATTTTGCTAATTATCATTCTCAAGATGAGTTCGTAGTACAATCCCAAAGGGCACAGTCTTCGTATAAATCCTTTGATCTTGGTGTTTGAACATTCTTGGAACCACATTCCCTCTCAAGCTTGGAAGTGTTTGCGCCACTTCGCCGTTGCCGCGCCTTGGATCGAAACTCGTTGGCGAGGCGAGGGCGAAGACGCTGCCGTGTAGGACACAAAAAGGTGACGCGTCTGGCGCGGCACGGAGGATGGATCTCTTGTGGGGACAGATGGTGGGGCCGTTTGACAGCGTTTCTTGCTGACAGCAACGTTTTTCTCATTTGTTTGATATTGAATGAATTGTCAGCTAGAGTTCTCCTTCATGCCCATGTTCTTTTGTTTGCTGGATAGATTCCTATGCAAACTCAGTTTGGACCCACATACCGGAGATGGCATGAAGGAGTGGGTTTGGGGGGTGAACAAGAACACGTACCTTTGGAGGAGGGATATGGATGGATTCGATTGATGGGGATCTACGATCGGGTTTGGATCATAGACCCCAAGTCCACCGCCCATTTGATCGATCTATGGCTTTGATCTATATGGCTACTATACCAGGACATCCAGGGACCCATGTTCATATGTTGTTCAATTCCAGCCCCAAAATGGAGGGGTTCAGCTTTCAAGATCAGATCCTGGAAGATGTCACTTGTTGTTGCTGGCCAAACCGATCGTCACTGACTTCCTTCGCCACGGAAAAACACCGCTGCGGTGTTCGTGTTCGCCGCCGTTCCAATCGGTTCAGCACTGGCTGCCCTTTAAGACTCCTGCCGTCCCAGTACCCCATCGCAGGCGCTTTTGCGAGCTGTGCTGGGAGGGAAGTGGTTGGTCAGTCGCGTAAGCGGCAGTGGTTGGCTTGTGGCATGTCACTGTTGACCATGTTCGAATCCAGATGATCGAATCTGCTCCTGTCGCAAGGTGAACAAGTCATTTCAGCAAGTTGTATCAAAGATGCCATTGTTTTCCAAAGTCTCATGTCGCCACTGTCGCCGGTTTTCCCTTGTTTCCAGCGACTTCATGATCGTCAGGGTCCGTCAGGTTTGATCGCTGGACAAGGTGAAACGACCTCCACCGTGATGTCGAAGTCCAAAGATCAAACCCTCACACGGTCCAGGTGTTTCCCCGGAACCAGGGAAGCACCAAGCCCAGACGCTCGATGGGACTGCGAATATGGCCTACCGTTGATGGTGTTTTTTTTCTTGGTGAATCTAAAAGGCCACCCAGTTGCGCCACCACTTTTAGTGCATCTGGGAAGAGGATTTCTGTTTCAGGTCGACCAATCGACATCGAAACCCCTCGACTTCTCGACAGGTCTTCGGCGGTCTCAGACACCCGGGTCAACGACTGGGTCGACACCGGTCTGTTTTCGAAGAATTCGACCTGGGGGTCGAATGGTTTGGGGGGATTTGTGTCTTGATTCGTTCAGTCATGCTTGCATATGCTTGTTTTTCCTTTCACCTGCCAATGAACCTGCCAGTTGGACGGAATTAGGGCACAGGAAGCCATTCCACCGATTGCATCACTGAGAATCCACCAAATCGAAAAAGCCGCTGGCGCCATGAGGTTTCCCCATCTGAAGACTTCCACTTCGCTTCCCCCAAAGACCGGCAACATCCGGCAACCCAAAACCCACCGCGCGTGGCGAAAGAACCTGGTCATCCCTCACTTGGCCGCGCGTGGCGAGCCGCGTGGCGAGCCGCGAGGCAAACCGCGAGCAGGCGCCATGATGTACAGGAAACCTGCCATGCGACGCCCCGGGTGCCGAGTGCGGGTTGTCGAGCTTGGACGCCATGGCGGTCGGAAAAGAGGGGCCAAAAAAGGGAGCATATATGGTGCTTTAAGGAACGGAACAGGTATCGAAGTGGTCAAGCTATCAACATCAACTTGTAAGTTGTGCAAGTTGGTACCTGATCAAATGCATCGCCCCCCCCCTTCAACTATATACTTGGAACATCGAAAAGGTGGGGTGTGGTGTGGGGCAATTGAAGCAGGTGCACTGGATGGATTCACTGTAACTTTATGAAACAATATGAAACAATGCAGACACCTAGTGGCGCACCAAGCGCTTCTTTGGGTGGAAGACGAATTCCCTGGTGCCCTAGTTACTAGTTGACGGAAGGAATAGTCATAGGGCTTCAAATCAATGGGGCTGCCCAAATCAGTTGAACATATAGTTGTGTGAGCATGACCTACCAACCGCCAGCTGGTACCATGCTGTCTTGGAAGTGCAAATTGCGGATCATTGGTAGAAACTGGCCTTTGGATTGTGAGGCTCCACAGAGATAAGCTTGGTAAGATGCCTTGTGGCCAGCACGAACAGTTGTACGGTCCCCCCAGGTTGATCCATTGGAATCCAAATCTCTATAGACAGACATGCAGTTTCAGAATAGATGGCGCAACCCCCAAGAGATGTTTCTACCCAACTTCCGGGGCCCAGAGCCATCGAGCCATCGAGCCTCGGCCCACTGGCCTCCTCGACTCCCCGCCATTGGAGTCCAAGAATCTGGAGCTGAATGCTTCAACGTGATGACCTGGGCCAGATCTCCTCCCCAATTTCCCCCGAAACCCCCAACCAGAGCCCCACCTCCAGGCTCGCAGCTCTGCTCGTGGCTTTCCTGGGATTCCAAGGTGCGATGCGTTCGACCTGGACCGGCATGTTCCTTTGAATCCATCCAATGTCCGAAGGAAGGCCCACAACTTGATTTGCAAATGACTTTGGGTCAGAGTTCTTGGCACTTCGTACTTGCAATCATCCCTTTGCGATGATTTTCACATTGATGTGTTGCCAAGCCAAGCCCTTGGGATCTCAACGGACAATCCAGCAATGACAAATGACAATGGACATTCTAAATTCAAGAGCAATGGAAATTCTAAATTCAAGAGCCGGTCAACCAAAGTGGTTGCACCTCTTCCAGCTTATATAGTGTTTATTTGGAACCACTGGAACAGGAACCATTTCATTCAAACGCATGAGCGCTTTTGTACTTCGGTGGTTGCGCACAAAAAGCACTGGCTGGTATCCAGCGGCCCTTTAATACTCCAAAACCTCAAAGCTCTTGTCAGCAAGTACAACTGGCCCTTCTTCAACAAATTGCTTGCTTTTCTTAACTTGTTGGGACGTCGTGCCAAGAAGGCCTGCTACAGCCATTGGGGCGTCAGAGTTTGGAAGTAAAAGGGTTGCATACTCTACAGGTGCCATGACCATCCAATTTAGATGTCCTTGGCCCCAATGACCATTCGTTGGAAGTACGAACTCACCTCCATTCAACCATCCGAAAAGGAGGTACCTGGACCCTGTGGGATGCAGACGATCAATGCATGCATGTTGACATCCAATTTCATTCAGACGATCCTGTTTTTTGCCTGAAATTGGCCTGTAGCAATCGCTACTAGTAGCAAGGACGCTACTAACTAGAGGTCTCTAGGGCCTTTTAGGACTTTAGGATGGTGGGAAGCAGGGCAGGTCCTTCCGGCCGAAGAACACTTTTGGAATGGGCAGGGTGGAAGACCCCTCAGGTCTGATTCTTATAATACTATTAGAGCGTGAAGCTTTCAAGCAGCTCACCATTCAGATCCCGCTTAAAACAAAGAAAACTTGGGAAATCCGTGAACCTGTTTGTTTCAGCCTCCAAAACAGACAGGCAACGCCTGCCGCCTGTTGTTCCTTTTGGCTGATCCAACACATCCCAAAACATCGACGCGAGTAACAAGGACGCGAACGGAACGCCGCGCTCCTGGCCTTACTACGAACGGAGCGTTCGGCTCGCTGCGAACGGAACAAGGGGCATCGCTACGAACGGAGCCTGAAGAATGAAAGAATGATTCTAATTTACTTCTAACAGCGTCTTGTTACTACTAGTAAGGCACTTGTTACTACTAGCGTGGCTCTTGTTACTACTAGCTTCTTGTTACTACTAGGTTTCCCGGTTCGGCTTCGGTTCGGTTCGACGCAGCGACCGCCAGCGCGCAGGCTGGAGCTTCCTCGGGGACTTCACTGGACAGGCAGCTGCTAAGGCGACCACCCCCAAGGCCGAGGATGGGAGGGAGGACGGGTGGCTGGGGAGGACGGCAGACCGAGATATTTCATTGGTTGGGATTGGTTGGTTGGTGGAGGTTTGACCAGATAGGAGGTAAAACTGAGGTTGATACACCACTTTATATGTCGGCAACTTTATCAAACTTGCCAAATCTACTAGTTATACTAAGTGCTCAGTTGTGAAGAACCACAAGACCTTCAACCACAAGTCAGACCTCGGTCAAAAACCTGTTTTGATCGCATACGGATGAAAACCGGTAAAAATGATCGCCTGCACACGGGGCTATTGTGGTTTTGGGTTTCCTGTTTCCAGTCTCCGGTTTTGTGGTGCTCGGGTGCCGCCCGCACTGAACATTTCCGTGTGACGTGTAGACAGACCGCCCAGAGGCGTATGTGGAGCGTAGAACGATGAACAAGGAAATAGCATGGACAGAATTGATCCGGTGAAGGAGATGTATAAGTGCCTGCATTCCGCACATTGTTTTTTTGTTTATAAGATAAATTGAGAGAGGTGGTCCAGCCGTGCAAAGCCCCCACCCTGCTATTTTAGTTTGTTGTTTGTTGGTGTGGTCAACAACAATCAACGATTCAATGTGAACGAAGCAAAAGCAGGTGGCTTTGATGAAGAGATTGGATTGGGGCCGGGGGAAACACCAAACACCGCAGAACAACTGTGAAGACATGACGTACGAATCATATGATGTCACAGGACCAGAAGAATTGGGCATCCCTTCACATGATGTCCTCGCGCCCTCAAAGTTGATCAGAGATTATGCAGGACCTTTCAGTGTCCTTGTTTAAAATAATGGCAGTGGAAAATGGCCCCTGGGAATACAAAGAGGTTGTCCACGATTGTGTTGATTGTTTGGAGGGAACGTATGTCATCCTGCCCACACACCTCTCATAGGAGCTAGAAACCGCTGAACGAATGGATGACCAAGGGCTACAGTCGAACAACAAAACGCTGTGATGTCCAAGTCCACCACCACGTCATGGGCGATCTACACAAATCACCTCCATCCGGAATCAATCGGGATCCATGTTTCACGAAAAGGGACAAGAACCGAATGATGTACAGACCTTTGGTAGTGCAGCGATAGCCAGAATACGCTCTTAGCTCTATGGGCCTGTTTGGGTCTTTCCTTTGATGGAGGCACATGAGTTTGAAACGAGGCTGAAGACCCCTCCACAGTGGGATTTCGAACGGACCACCTGGATTTGCTGAGAGTGATGAGTGATGAATTCTTATTCATCATTGTCTGATTCCGCTTTTTCAGCGTCGGTATCATCCCCTTCGCACTGACCGTCCCTCCGGCGTCCCGCCCAGGAGCCGAAGATCGCGCCGAAGCCACCGAAGATCACGCGACACGCCTCGGTGGTCGAAAGCCTGAAGAACCCCGTGGGGGTCGCCCGTCGGCGCGTGGTCGCCACGCGTTGTTTGGCGCTTGCGTTCCACGCGCCCCAGTAGCGTGTTCTTGCGCTACTGCGGTTCTCAGAGGTGTTTTATCATTTTTGGAGCTGCAGTGGTTTCAGGATGCGCAGGATGAGAGGAGACATGAGGGGACAGATGATTTCAAAGCAATTTCACCAGTTCGGATATTCACGGATGTGTGTTTATTCCTGACCAGTTTATTTTTGCGGGTGCAAAGACCCCCTGGAAGAAGGGAAATATCATCGATTGGAAGGTCAATTTGAAAGGTTGCTTGCGCATTAGAACCATGCTGCTCTCCTTACGCTAAGCCGAGGGTGATCACTGCATGTCGTCGACTGCATGCAACTGCAAAGTAACAGAACCATTGGTTGGCTCCCAATTTAAATACACACCCACATGTGTTACTGCCGTCGACCCGGTGGCTTCCCGTACCAATTACTTTCTTTCGATTGAGATGGACATGGAGAACATCAGGACTTTCCAAGAGATTCCAACAGAGATTGAAGGCACCCTCCCATAGGTACCCCAGTAGGGTCCTATAAGGTCACTTAACCTCTCTTGGTTCTCCATGCTGTCTCCGAGCACGTGAACGAAAAACATGTCCGGCCTTTAGCAAAGCATCGACCGGCTGTGAGGTCAAAACTGTTTCAGAGACAATTGATGACTTCTACAAGGCCTGGGTGGGGCTTGCACACATCAACTTCCGGGAAGAACTTAGCTGGGCTAACCAGAGGATCAAAGGTCTCTATAAAATCTCTATACGTGTCTCCACCATTCTGAAGGGCTGTTGGAATTCACATGAAATTATTTCATCTGCGAAGCCTCACAAGATTGAGAGTTCGGGGACTCCATTGCTGGATTGCTCGGCTGTGCGACCTGTAGACAGCTAAGGAGTGATTCTTTGATTCCAGAGTTGATGGTAGTTGGCATCAATCTGTAGAGTAGTTGTTAGGTATGGTCATAGAGATCATAGAGACCCACCAGAACAAACCTACCCACTCACGTGGCAAAAGCTTAACCTCTATTTTACGGGGAAATTCAGGGGGCCAGCAAATGATTGCACTTTAAAGAGACAACAGAGTCATGAAATGTTCTTGAGGCCAGGGCTTGACTGTCGTGCTAAATAAAGACCTCGCTCATCCACGCCAGGGCTACCCACAGCCGCCAGTTCTGCCCATGCCGGGACCCTGAGAGACGCGGCGCTGAAAAGCGGTCATGGGTAAGACTTATTTCCTGAGCGTCGTTTGAGTCTAAGCATGTCTAAGCGCTTTTTGCACTCAAGCAATGCGTACAGAGGTCTTGATATTTAACTCCAACCATGTGTACAGTCGACTCAGGGGTCTTGCCCTCCTGCAGGAGCTTCAGTTTGCCCCTTTTCCATCCCCTTTTCTTGTGACAGTTTGCTCCACTTGGTGGGACGTGGAACTCCGGATTGGAAAGGTCGCGCAAGAAGACTAGACGAAGAAGCTACTAGGGGCTCCTGGCATCGCCATTAGGAGCAAGGATGCTACGAACGGGGCTCGTGGCCAATGATGGCCTAGACATGCTTAGACACTGGATGCGGCATCCAGACACGATCGTCACCTCGGTGCACGAGAACACGATCTTGAAGTCAATCGGATGACTCGTTGGTGTCTTCTATATGGCGGTTCCCTTGGGTGTTGCTCTCTTTTTGTCAACTACTGTGTTGTTGTTTCTACGAAGTGCAATACTTCAATACACTTCCGGTGTCCTCTAGTTGCTAGTTGTTTCAAGTTACTATCCACAAGAACATCTTTCTTCGCACAGTCTCGAGAACTCTTGGAAGAATCAATAGGCAAAACCAACTGCTTTCCCCCAGAGGACTTGCGGTATCCGCGTTTGCCAGCCACTGGTATGTGGGGCTTTGTACTTTCAATGATTCAATGATATCACCGACACAGAGACAATGAGAAACCCTATGGAACATATGGTCAAAACATAGTATAATAGAATAAATACAATATGATGTGTTCAATCTACACGTACTGCACGATGAATCTGTTTTCCCAGAACGATCTCAACAATCAACTGCTCCCTTAAGTCCAAACAAAACAACTCAAGAGTAATCTGAGTGAAAGTCATCAAACATTTGTGATGTTCTCCATGTTCTCCATCATCTACCCATGTCCGATCCTTTTTTCCATGGTTCGTGGTTGGATGTCTAAGAACATGAGCCTTCTGCACCGTGGGGCGACTTGAGGTATAGGACCTTCTTGGTTGACTTCATTACACAGACGGTCAGCGCGTTGCGCGAACCGGGCGAACGGGGGGGCGAACGGGTCGAGTGGGGGTCGAGCAAGTCGGTTGTGAGGAAGTTGGTTTTTGGTTTCTTTCAAGTGGTTCCCCCCCGCGCAGAGGAAAATGGTCGAAACAACAGGTCAATGCTTAAGGTTTGATCAAAAAGACTCTCCCCAGACCATGCCTCGTATTAAGAATGATGTCATTTCACCCATCATGGATCCTTTCAAACAAATGTTGGTCCAAAACCCAAGGGAACGGAAACAAGAAGCTAGTAGTAACAAGTGCATCGCTAGTAGTAACAGGTGCCTTACTAGTAGTAACAAGAAGCTAGTAGTAACAGGTGCTCATCTGCAGGAACACGATGATGTTTTGTCGTTGCCAAGCCCATGGGATTGCCATTCATGTGCGCATGATGGGAAGCCATGCTGACTCTGTTGGTGCAATTGTTCAACTGAGTCAGCCAATTCCCAAAACAGTGCGGGAAATGGTTGGTCGACGGAATGAACATGTGTGCATTGTCACATGCCAACAATACTCCAATCGATTATAAAACATATTCTGTATCCCAAAGGGATTGAAGTCATGTCCCACACCTTCACCGGGGCGGTTCAATTGGGAGTCATTCTTCGATCGACTTCGTCATTTTTCAAGACATTCCACCACATGTCAAACGAAAGACTCATTCCGGCCGTTGCCGTCCGGCCAGCACCTGAGCAACGTGGACTCAAGATTCAAGTATGATGCCATTTTCGCCTTGGGCATGAGGCGGGTCGCGTGAGTATGTGTGAGTCAAATATGAGATGGGTGGAATGACGGTTTCATCCAAATGAGGATTCAACTGATGATCGGGGTTGTTTTCCACAAGAACTTGTGGGAAGAACTTCCGGATGTGTTTTTTGTTTGTCAACTGACTGAAGACATTCATATGGGATGGGGGTTCGTGTCAGTTGACGATCTAAAATCTGGCAGCCAAATTCCGGATGTCATCAATGTCGTTCTGAAAAATGCATGGTAGGGATCTCCCCCTTCCAAACATTCTACTAGACGTGGCACGCACCAGCATCCTCCAACAGGTTACTCCCTGCCATGTTGAAGCCTCCAAAAGCCTCGAGAGCAGACCTATTGGAGGGTGCTGGCACATGTTGATTTATGATTATCTTGTTTTCCTGCAGAAAAACCAGCGTTTCTCCGGCACATTCAACGGGGAGCCGGGTGCCACCGGTGCCACCGGCCGACTCCAACATGGGACCGTTCCTGAATAACTTTCATCCAAATCCCCAAACAGAACGACAACCACAACAGATCGGAGATCCGCGGATGTCGCCCAGCTGTCTTTTCGCGACCCGAATCGGCGATCGGACAACAGTTCGGAGGCACTACTTCACCGGCCTCATGGGCCAGTATGACAAGTTGGTGATGAGTTGCCCAGCTCAAAAACCGAACTGGCAACGGCTTTGGGGGCCGAATTCGTCGGGGCCGGCTTGGCCGTTGAAGCGGCTGGAGGTTGACCTGTTTGACATGCAAGAGAGGCTTCATTGTTGACATCGGCATGTTCACTGCTATGTTGGTTCAGATTTACAAGGGCGCGCTTACTGGCAATATATGGTGGGTGGTTTCATACGGTAAGCCAATGATCCCGTGCTTCTTTGACCTCAGAGGGTCTCTCAGGGTTCAAGAAGATTCCCACCTGCTGAACAATGATGTAGACTCTTGATTTAAACACGCAAAACAAACATGTAATAGAGGACTCCAGACTCAATCGATTAGAATGAACAACAAAACTGTATTATTGTAAAACCATTTTCATACGGAGGGCTTTAGTAGTCAAGAGTACCTTATTTCATCCGTTTCAGCTTCATTGGCCAATTCCCCGCTCCCCCAGAAAGCCCCCATCACATAGAACCCCCTGTGCTCGCAGAGACAAAAACATGAAAACGCAGAATGCCATGTCGAACGACTTTCGGTCCTGAGGTGAAGAATCAGAGAAGATCTGGAAGTCCTTGGTCGAAGCCATTGGATTGAAGCCAGATCAGGCGTGCGCAGTCCTACTTGTCCTGGGGATGGTGCGAGCTCCTTACTAATACGGTCTTTTTGTTGGCAAAAACGTCGGCAGTTTTACACGAAAATCCCGGGACCAGGGGGGAATCCCTGAGCCCTACAAGCACGCAGTCAGTAAGGGCCGGGAGGAAGTCATAAATTGATGCCCTTGGTTCATCATAGCGTTCTTGTTACTAGTAGTAAGGCCAGGAGCGCCCCTAGTAGTTTCTTTCTCCTAGTAGCGATGCCAGGAGCTACAAGTAGCTTCTTGTTACTAGGTGGCTTTGACCAGTAGATTCAATGACCTGTTGAAACCTTGGTGACTTTTGGCCAGTCTGACTGACGTTCAGTCATCAAGAGCATCGATGTGTCTATTGTGGAAAGGATATGGAATGGAAAAGGCGATGGAAAATCATGATCATGCAGGCTCGATTGGTAGGAACTCGGAGCCAAAAACGAGGTATTTTTGGAGCCTCAGTCATAGGTCCTCATAGCCATTGGCCGGTAGTGAGACCAGATTCCTTTGGTCACGCAGTCGTTTTGAGTCTTTCAGTGTGGACGTAGTGGACAACACCACGACGTAGCCAGTCATCAGCCTCTGACACTGAGTGCCAGAGGTGCAGGCGGACGCCGAGGCGGTTGCTGCTTATGCCAGCCGGGCGGCTTGGGGCAACATGGATGTGAAAGTCAGCATTGGATACAAGCAAGGTTTTGGCAAGAACCCTGGTCTTAAGAAACCTTGATATGGTCTTAGTGAGGTCTTCATAAGACCTTGGTATTGAATATGGCTTTGTACATCTTTGTACTGTTGATGCATTTCAGCCATATAGTTACATATGAGAGCTTAACCCTTTGGATTCGACCGAGTTTTTCCACGAGCCCTCCAACAGGTTAACCACGCTTCTTTGAGAGCAATTTTGACCATTCAACGACTTTGGCTAGGAGACAGGGAAGCTCACTGGTGTCTTGGGATGATGCTGTTTGGCCCCGCTGGCGACTGCAAAGGTTCACGCAACTGTCCTTTAGTCTTCAGTTTGCCAACCAACTTGGTCCATGTTGAAAGGCCGACGAGAAACGTCGATGTGATGTGAAGATCCCTTCGGCGAAGACCGAGGACACATGGTGAGAACCACCGTCCCATCGTCACGAGCTCTCCTGAGCTACCAGGTTCCACGAAGCCGTCGGAGATTCTGAAGCACATGGAGGCGGTTTGAAGTGGTTTTTTTGGGGGGGAGTTGTTGTTCTCCCCCTTTGTTGCCGTGGCACGGGGCGCCTTCTACCATCGCGCATCCCGGAATCCAGGCGTTTGTGAGGGTGCGGGTGCGGAAGGAAGAGAGATGCAGAGATCAGGTGGGAGGTTGTCGGACTGCCTACTAAGAGGAACAAGAAGCTACTAGTAACAGGTGCCACGCTAGTAGTAACAGGTGCCTTACTATTAGTAACAAGAACGCTACTAGGGGCTCCTGGCCTTACCTGGCATCGCACTAGGAACAAGAAGCTACGAACGGGGCTCCTGGCCTTACTACGAACGGAGCAAGGGCGCATCCCGAACGAACCTCCTGGTTCATGGTGTGTAGCTCAAAGGGGGAGCCCGACACCGGCGGCGTTCCGACTCCCCTGGAAGGTTCGTGAACATCGACGACACTGCCGGAGAAAAAAGGGGTGTCTCCCTGTGAGAAAACAGCCTAGTAGCGACGGCCTCCACCCTAGTAGCTTCTTGCTACTAGTAGTATTGTTACTATAAGAAATTACACACCGATTTTTTCTATACTGACATGTACTCTCAGTCTTTCAGGTGGAATGGTTAGAGTCAGGATCGAGGTCAGGTACTATCGTGCTGGGGCAATCCGGTGCCATCCATCAATTCCATCGGTTTGTGAATAGATTTGACCTCTATTTAAACATGTCAGGGGTGGGAGGTGGGAGGTGAAGGCGTTGATATATATATATAGGGCTATAGGGTCCGTCCGTTCTTACCTGTAACAGTCAGGTGTCACGAGCAAATCATCAGAACAAGGCCTTCGACATAACCATCATCATCCATGGAGTCCAGGTATTAGGATAGACCCAAGCCATACAAATGAGTTCACCCTCATAGCCATGGCGAGGGAAATGAGGCTTCTGACATCTCCAGGGCTTGCTGCAGGTCGATGAGCTGCCTAGCTGGGCCTAGGGGTTGCAGGTTGAGGTGGTGTCCTTAACGCTTTGACGGGAGACTAGTAGCGTCCTTGCTCCTAGTGCCAATCTGTTGACTGAAACAGCTAGCTAGAGTTGCACGACAGGACCTGAACGCACATGAGACGTGAGAGGTATTTCTATACCTGTCTCGGTGGATCATGTTCCTTCACCTCAGCTGTTTCTGAGCAAACCGTTTTTAGGCTTTGGCTGTGAAATTATGAATGTGTAAATACGTCTTCTATGTCATCTCGTATTCGTTGTTGTTGGGGTCCAACAGATGCATGTTCAGCTTCACGCTGTTCTTTTCCCACCTTCCTTGCGATGGTCCGGGTCTCACCTTCCCCGCTGAACCTTCACCGCGCAGGGCACCGAGAAGCCCTCGGAGAAGAAGGTGGCGGCCGCCTTCGAGTCCATCAAGCGCCTCGTCGCGACTCGCGACGCGTGGGGCGTGGGGCGTCCGACTCCACGAGTGGCAATGCTGGTGACCGAAGTGACCGTCAAGGGTCCAATGCTGGTTTTGGGAGGTTTCAATGAGGTGGTGTTTGGGGAATGTTCTGAGGTCTCGGAGATGGGAGACGCATCAAAGTAAAAATAAAAATGCATCAAGAAATAAACAAAAATGCATCAAAAAAGAAATAAACATGCATCAAAAAAATCATAGAAAGAAACGAGCGAAGGAAGGGAGGAAGGAAGGAAAGAAGGCTGTGAAATTGAAATGCGATGTTGCAAAGCTTTGCCCAGATGCCCAGCACAGAGACCATTCCAGTTATCAAAGGAAGATTCATTGGGGAAACTCCATGATATTTGTTTTTTGGTCGTGCCAAGTTACATTGCGGGGGAGGCGCTGCGGCCTCCCCCGCGCCCCCTCCCGCTTTTAATTGTTGAGTGTTTTCATGTCATTCATTTCATTTGTTCATTGACTCATTCATCCTTTCTGCCTTCTTTCTTTCATTTTCATGTTCAGTTCATGTGATTTTACTGTTTGTGTGTTTTGTTATTTTGATCACTGCTTCGAATGGATTATTGATTGTTCTTCCCTCTGCACGTTTGGGTCCGTTTATTTTTGTTTTTTCTTGATCACACTGAAATATGTTTATTTGTTGATGCATTTATGTTTTTTTGTTGATCCCCCGCCCGTTAATGGAATATTGCTCTTCCCTCTGCACGTTTGGGTCCGTTTACGTTTTTAAATGTTTTGTTTGACTCATTTTTGTTTTTTATTGATCCCTCGCCCCTCAGAGATGTCTAGGGCCCAGTTGCAGAAAGACCAGACACTCCTTTTTCGTAGATGGCACAGACACCAAGATGTCTTTTAGATGATAAACTACCAAACTTGGGGTAACTTGTGCCATCTATATAACTCTCAATCCTCTGACAGCTTCAAGGCTTTTGCATGTGCGGTGGATCGGAAGGGTAGAAGGAAAGGCGGTGCATTGATCCAGCAAGGATTTTTGGTGTGCTTTCCCGAGGCTTGACCGTTGAAGCGAATGGGGGACTTGGTCTTGTAGTCTAACATCAGTAAATCCATGGCTCTTTGGTGGTTGACATTCGCCTTTCAAGATGATTGAGTGATGCGATGAGACATGTTTTTTTTTGGAATTGGAGCTCCTCAAGAGGCTTCTCCCCATCGTTTCACCACATGTTTGTGCTGCCCGGAGGAGCCGTTCCTCGAGTCGGGAACCCGGGAACTCCCCGTGGTCGCTGGAGGTCCTCGCTCTATTCGATCACCTTTAGCATGGGTCTCTTCCGAGTCATGGAACTCAGCCGGAGGGCTCAGAGGGGAGAACTGCTGCGCACCTGGATGGCGACGTTTGGTGAGAGGAAACCTGAAATTCGCTGTTGCTCGGTGGATTCTGGGTCGGATTGGAAGCGTCATGAGGTTTCTAATGGAAATTGCTGGTGGAGGGTGTTTGCGCTTTTGAGTTCGCCTTGCCGAGCTGGGGCAGGGCGGAAGAATGTGTCGTGAACTGGTGAACTGATGAACCATCACCGTCATCATCCTTTGCCGAGCCGAATCGGAAAGTGAGTCGGTGCATCGCTACTAGTAACAAGTGCCTTACTAGTAGTAACAAGAATTAACTAATTCTTGTTTCTACTAGCTTCTTGTTACTACTAGTAAGGCACTTGTTACTAGAAGCGATGCACTTGTTCCTAGTAGCTTATTGTTAATTGTTGAAAGGACATTTAAAGAGTTTAGCTGTCTATTTATGAGTGCTCCACCAGCGTGTGATTTTTGTCACACTGATTCTTCATGATTCTGCCATTCTTCAGGATCCCCAAGCAAGCTCATGCTTGGGATATCTTAGGATCCAGATGGATCCAGTCCAGTTTAGTCAACGACTTTAGAAATTCAGCTTCAACTGGGTTGAAATTGTGAACCGTGCAGTATGATCACTGCTTCCCGCAAGACCCGTCATCCAGGGCGACCGTTTCGCTACACCTGCTGGCACAAGCAAACATTGAACATGGTTTCAACCACTGGTCGCATTTGGTCACTATAGCTTCTAAGACATAGTGTGTGAATAACAGGGATCCAATCGAAAGCATGCACCCAACATCACCCAACCCTTCAAATCCGAGACATGGATCGAGCCGCTCAACCAGCCATCAGCTAGACCTGGTTTCAGACCTCATCCACCCGAATTCGCGGCAGAGGTGGGGTGGAACTCACCCGCAACAACGCAGAGGAGTGGGCGAAGGCCTTGAAGATTGAGCCGCCGTCGGAAACTCAAATGATGACGACGGATGTGGAGAGGGTGGAGTGACATGGAGACTGAAAACATGTGAATACCTTTGCAGTTACTGCACTATATAAATTGGGTTTACCTGGGCGTGTTTCTGCGATTTCATGTGGCTGGAACCTTGTGGCAGGCACAGTTTAAATGCAAAGGCTGAAGATGGGGTTGCAAATTCCCTCCATTGCCCGAAATGCATGCCTGACCAACTAGCATCAATGGCATTCCGTGCTGTAACGTAGAATTTGGCGAAACTCTCCAGTACGGCATCCTCAATGTACACCTTCAACATCGTTCACTCCCGAGTTCCCAAACTTGTTTGTTTTGTATGTTCAAGCTCTTGATATCTCTTAGCACTGATTTTGGGACACCCTCACCGGCCCCAGGTCCAAGGTCACATCCGATTTCGAGACCTACAAGCCACGGATCTCAGTTCGATCGGAAAGGGAATGGAAGGGGCAGAGTCCTGCAGGCAAGATATAGTGGGCCATCGGAGTAGATGGCCAGTTTGGTGGTTTAGGGTTTTTGCCATCTATGTGGGAAACCACTGTATAGTACATGTTTCTATGGCATGGGATAGTTTCAGAGCTCAATGCGCTGGAGAAATGGGCTTCGTAGACCCTGATGGATCACCCTAATGTTTACCTGAATGAAGAACACCATGTCACATCGTGTGGGCGTGGATTCAGGGATTGAGGGAAGACCGAAAAGAACCAAAGATCAGTCTGCCCAATTGCTTGGGGGTCCCTATTTATTTCAATCAAGCCCCCCCATGTCACTGTAACAAGGTGCCGGATCTGGGTCTTTGGGATAATCACCTAGCGATGTTATGGCCATCAACCAAAAATAGGAAGAGGTACAGTCAGTACAGGTAACCACTGTGTGTTGCCATATGTTGCCACAGACATAATTGAATCATGTCAACAACGTGTTGTGACGAGTTTGGATCGTTTGGGGGATCCTCTACACCACTTGGATCCTTTTCCCCCACCTTTTCCTCCACACCAAAGATGTTCCGCGAAGCCAGGCAGAACCAGTCGAAGCTTCAAAAGGCTGAAGAGATGCTTCGAGAGGCGAGCCGCAGTGGGAAAAAAGGGGTTGAAGGTGATCTTTTGAAGCTGTTTGGAGCATTGTTTGTTGCTTTCAGAGTTTCATAGAGTTGTCCAAACACACACACACACACCTAGTTACATGCCATGACTTTCGGGACGTCACGTTGATCCTGACAAGAGGTTCCTATATGTTCCTTTTCTGCAAAATGGGTCATTCAACCACAAGGGATGCGGAGGTTTCAGCCACTGATTCCTTGGACCTGTAACAAGAAGCTTCTAGGAACAAGTGCCTTACTAGTAACAAATTAGCATTATTTTAAATTAGAATTGTTTCTCATAGCTTCTTGTTCCTGCTTCGCCTTGGTTCGCAGGAACCAGGTCGACTCACTCACACGACCGAAGAAAGCACCGGATCTGCGTCCACGCTGCACGGACGACCGAAGAAGAGACGGTCATTCCTACGAAGACAGCGGGGACTCGGTTGGTTTTCCCAAGAATCCGAAGAGTTCTCCGGTGTAAAGCGGGTCTTTGGGCGAAGTCCTGTTTTGGGATATATAATAGGGGGAGTCAAACAATAAGTGATTGGAATGGATTGTCGGAATACCATGGCAGCTCTTTGGTGTTGTTCATTGTCCCACCACTCGATCTGACTGTTTATCATCGTTTGGCGCCCTAGATCGAAATCCGGGAGAAGAAGAAGTTGGCGGAAAGGCCATTGGTCGCTGTGGTCGCTGTCGTTTGGGGAGTCAAGAGAAGACCATGGCCTTCACACCGTCCACTGGTGTCAATCTGACTCACATGAAGACATGTTCATCATAGCAGTGATGGCCCTTGATTCCGGGTTTGACAGGTTTTGTGGAAAAGCTTCTGCCATGAACACTTTGATTGAGGGAGTTGTGGGCCACACTCTTTGGAGTTCGGCTTTTTGTGTATTCCAAGACAGATTCCCTCAACCACGGCCAAAAGCCGCGAAAGCACTTGAACCTTTTCCAGGGAGCTTGCTCTTAGTCTTAGGGCCGGGTCTCATGGCATTACCCAACAGTGTTGCAAGATGTGTTTCATTCAATCTAATAGGGATACCACCAACCTAGAAGAAATGGCCTCCGACCTAATAGCGATGGCCTCCAACCTAGAAGCATATTGCAGACATTTGGGCCGGGAAAATCTTCGCCGGGGTGCTATTGGCTTTGAGACTTCCCAATGTCATCCAATGTCTAGATTGGAATGGTCGGTCTCCCCTGCGGATCAACATGGAACCCCAGGTCACCACGTCGGGTTGTAGAGGAAAAGGGTCGAAACCACGGGTCGACTTTCAGGTTCCATGAGAGTTGGCGGGAGGGGGTCAATCACCGTGAACACCGTCCCAAGAGTCCAACGTCAGGAAGTCGGAAGCGCCGAGAGGCTGAAGTCTTGGCTTCCCACGCCGAAGGGTTTGTTGGTAGTGTGAAGGGATGTTTTCCATGCAGCTCAGTGTGATGTGGTACTGTAGTAGTAGCAGTTCTGCAAGTTCTGACCAAAAGTCCCGCCGCATTTGCGACGGGAACACGGTTTCCGCCCCGGAACCAGCCGCTTTCATGGTCCTTGGAACCCGCCGCAGCTGGAGGTTAGAGCAGAAGGCGAAGGCACTCGCCGAGAAAGCGGCGAAGAAGGCGATGGAGCGCGGAGTCAACGGTCGAATCAACGGTCGAAGAAGCCGAGGATAGCGAGATGGGGGATGGGTCCGCTTGGAGCCCTGGTCCATGTAATGGGTCTGACCTGACGTCGGTCAATCGGTCTCCTGGTGCCATGACCGGTAGCCATCTCTTGTGATCGATCGAGAGAGACCAAGTTGTGGATGGGATGTGGATGGATATCATGGCTCACCTGCTTTGCGAAAAGTTGAGAACTTGATGAACTTCATCAGAAATGGAGCCCGGACGTTTGGGGAGGCGGATCAACTGCGAACTGGAACTTCCGCTTCCGCCAGGGTTCTGCGGGTGACTCAGGGAATTCAGTGCCCAAACCCCTTCAGGCCGTGTTTCGATCGGTCGGGTTTGATCGTCAAAAGAGATCCGCCCAGGAGCCGGAGGTCAGTGAGGCATCCCCATATCACTCTTTGTTACCAGTAGGTTCTTGTTACTATATAGTAGTACTGGCCTCCACCCTAATAGCAATGGCCTCCACCCTAAGAGCGATGCCAGGAGCCGGAGCCCAGTGAGGCATAAATTCGTGTCGCAGAAAGAGACGCTGCCGCCTCGGAAGCTCCTCGAGAGACCTGGCCAGAAAGGAACGAACCTCGAGAGACCTGGATCTTCTCAGTTTTTCATGTCTACGCAAGTCGGTGTTTGGGATGAGCTCGAGCTAGCAAGACTGCACATCATTTGCCCAAAGGCTTGGCTATATCCATGTTGTTGTGGGTTCTTTGGGTGCCAGTTAAACCCATTTTTGAGTGGCATGAACGGTGAAATATGGCCTCCAACCTAAAAGAAATGGCCTCCAACCTACGAGCCTCCAACCTGAGAGATGGAGGTCCATTAAGTGGTTTGAGGTACACCCACCACACTGGAGCTTTTGAGAACCAATGCGCGTGAGGAACACTGGGCGTCACAAGGGACGCCTCGCCCCAGCATCGTCACTCATCTCCCTCGTCCGTTGTTCTTGGGCGGTGGAAGGAGTCGGCGCTGCACTGCGGGCAGTTTTCGGGGTGCGACTTTTCTGTCCAGCTGGTGTCAACCCCTTAGAGGAGCTGATCGGAACACAACCTTGGACCTACTCTCATGTCCATCCCCGCAATTCCGGTGCTTTTGCTTGGGGAGAGGTCGAGGAAATCTCGATGGCTCAATCCTCTTCGGAGGTGTTTTTGTTGTTGTTTTTCCCACATGAATCCGCGGCCCGCGTATGTTTGGTCTGGACGCACCGGGACCCGTCATCGGTTTGGACGGACCGATCCTGAGATTCCACGTCTTCTTAACGTTGATCGTTCGTCCTAAAACCATCAAATGCCATGTCCATGGTAGCTTCAATTTGACCCAGTCAGCTCGAAGCGATCGAGGTCATACTTGTTGTGGAGGTGAAACACTCCAAATTACCCAACTTACTTTGAAAAAGGTTAGTTTCAAGTTTCAAGGCTCGAAACGGAGGGAAAGAGGTTGACATTGCACCCCTCTTGGGCAAAGATGGCGAGGTTTTGCCTCGCAGCAACGGACCGCAGTAGCTTCTTGCTCCGTTCGTAGCGATGCCCTTTGTTCCTAGTAGCATCCACTTGTTCCTAGTAGTAATGCCAGGAGCTACTAGTAGCGTCCTTGCTCCTAGTAGTACTCTTTTTGAGATTCTTGGGTTGACCAAAGCCTTTAACGTCCTTTTCATGAAGTACCTTTTTTGTATAGGACTTTGTCTTGCAAAGCCCAGCTAGCTAGCACCTTTGCTAGCTCTTTATATACATTGGTTCGCCAGATGGCCCAGAATTGAATCCCTGTGCGTGCAGCTGCAGGAGCTAAATTGGGGTCGAAGCAGTTCATCCTGCATCACACAGTAGGTCATTCAGTCATTTCTGTGGGGTTGATTTTCCTGGATGGATCAGGATCAAGGTAGATTCTCCAACCACCACATAGGCTTTGAGTTGATAGTTGATGTATGTTGATATTCTGCATTTGTCAACAAGCAGAATGGTTGCGAGCATTTGCGGGCGAGTTTTGGTTGGTATCCCATACATAAAGGTGTTGGGGCACTTATCATTAGGCCGATCAGCTACTAATCGATATACTAATTAATTAGTATTGCAAACATTGAAGTCCTCGCTGTTGATCATCGCCCTTGATTTTCTCTGCATTCTTTGAGGGAACACCTTGGTTTTCCATGTCTTTGCACCCGTCGCGCATGCGCATCCGCGCGACGGGTGCATATAATCGGTGCAGATGACCGTGGCTACAGCTCCAAACCCGCCACTTGGTGCTGCCAAAACCGCCAACATGCGGAGTTATTGGGCGCTCCAGAACGCTACAGCGGTCCTTGCTCGTATGGTTTGGGTTTCAAGATTTTCATGGACAGACCCTCTCCGCCGGCGTGAGCCGCCGGTCTTTTTCGAAGGCAAAAGAAGGGCAACGCGGCCCAGTCACAGATTTCGATGCCAAGTCAGACAAATTAAGCAGCATTTGCTGTCTAAGACTCTCAGAAGTTGTATCCTGTTGATTAAGACCCATGACATTTTGGAGTATTAAGGTACCAGGATGTACCAGGTATGAGTGAGACACATCTTCCCTTTACATCGACTGAATCATGAATCATCCTAAATAGACAATACGTTAAGCACTGGGTGATCACAGACTTTGAGTCGTTGAAAGTGACGGGTCGTAGGAAGAGGGTCGTGGGAAGAAGGACTCTTTGGGTCGTTGTTTGGGGAAGGAATCCGTTGCAAGCCGCTGATACGAAGTGAGAATCCATTGCAAGCCCGGGTCCAGATGGGTCCAGGTACCTTTTCGGATGGTAACGGAGGTGAGTGATCGTATGAAACCAGAATGGTCTGCGGCCTAGCAGGACATCCGATACCTCGGATGGTTAACCCTTCGCCTTCCAAACTCCGACGAGCCCGGCTGTAGCCGTCCTACACGCGGTTGCTCGCGGGTTTTCTTCGCCGGGCTCAGCTTTGCATCATTTTCGATCGCCCGGGTGGCCCTGTGAGGTGGGGGTGCAGGGAGGATGCAGATGGGTCGAGGTGGGGATTCAATTCCTTAAGTGGAGAGGTTGAAATGGTCGATCGAAAGGTCGACATCAGGCCTATGTCACTGAGAGCCTTTTTTTTGTGTTCGCGAAGAAGAGCCTTTCAGCAAGAAGAAATTTTGATCAACCACCAAATAGATTCCATCTAAAAGGCTTTAACATGCCCCTCTTCCGCCCCTCGCTGGACACCACCCACTCGAACGAAACGACTCTTTCTTGTTGTCGTTCTCCTTCTTGTTTGACATTTAGGAATTTAGGACTCCGAAGGACACATCCAACTTCTTGGGGGCAAAGTTCGAAGCACCACTGTTTTCACCAACACCTCAGAGTCTTTGTCCACTCCCGGAGCTCGAGACCACTTTCACTCGGACCTCGAAGAAACACCAAGAAACCGAAGCTTGGACGCCCCTTCCATGATCCCCTTCCGTGTCACGCTTTCGCTTTTCCATCCACGTCGAGGTTGGTTGCGAACACTCCGTCCACGCCCGGGAGGCGTGCGCCTACCATGGCGGCGTATAGCAACGCGCCCATCATGTATTCCAGCGTCCAACCAAGCACCGACCTGTCAGGCCTGGCAAGGAGGGGGGACCGAGGGGGGGGGCAGCGCAGCGCTTTTGCAAGCGCGGTGTCCGGATCGTGGAAGGATGAAGACGGGTGGGACGGTGCATGTGGTTTGGTCTTAGACCTATATAGACCCTGAGTGGTGAACCTCTTTTAGACCACCGAACTGACTGTTTTGAGAGGCCTTTCCTATATCAAAACAGGAGGGTCAAAGGGGTTTCTATCTAGCGCTTCGAAAGGGTTAATATCACTTGCACATCGTCACGACCACCGGCGACCACCGGAAACAGCCAGAAAGCAAATAACACCGATGTTTCAGGTGGAAAAGAGGGAATCGGTTCGTCCGAAGACGCCTTTGGACAATTCCTTCAGCTCGGGGGGACCTCCATTCATCGTACGCTTGGAGAAGGAACCGAGGTGATGGCTAAGGTAGACTGAAGGCATCGACTCGCGGATTCATAAAACTACGTACTTAAAATCGGATTTGCAGTCTTAAACAAAAAAGTCAAGAGTCTTGCTTGGTTCATGCGAGGGATCTCCAGGAACCACCACAAATACCCTGGTCAAAGGGAACAAATGTCCTCAGACCACGCAGAACGCCATAGAACCAACTTGATCTAATTTGATTAATTTGTTTTTTGGGATTTAGGTGATCAACAGCCATTCTTGACGATGAGACTGTTTGGGGGTCTACGAGTCTATGCTCAACCTTCCAGATTGCCCGCTCCACAAAGCGAGATGATCGAGGCCGTAAGAGAAACCCATCACTGTCTCCATCCTGTGTGGCCAAAGCTTCTTGTTCCTAGTAGCGTCCTTGCTCCTAGTAGCGATGCCAGGAGCCCCTAGTAGCTTCTTGTTACGTTCGTAGCGATGGCCTCCAACCTACTTGCGATGGCCTCCACCGAGCATAGCGTCCTTGCTCGGAATCTTCAGCCCCAAAAGACCCCAAAAAAACCTCGAGTCGGACCCCAGAAGAGGTGGTACGGCCAACCTGGCACGGCCAGGCGCAGTCATTGCAGATGGTGAGGTAGGGGGGCCTTGGTGGGACTGGGTTGGAAAAATATTGCAACTCTGTGAACTAGGATGTTATTCTTTTGACTGGAGGACTCGAGAGGGACAACCTATAGGTGGACAGAAAAATCGGAGCCTGTCCCTTTGAGGAACGCCATTCACCGCAACGGCGCGGCCATGCTCACTTTGCCAGTTCTTGTTGAGCAAAAAACTCGCTAAGTGCGGACCATCAATGCTGAGCCAAGTCGCCAGGTGGAGAAGATATGTTTTCATCAGCAGCATGTTGGACAATCGGACAATCACTCCTTTCAGAACAGGTGTTTTTCCTGGTTGGTCAGGTTCGATGTTGATGTCCAAGGGTTTAAGATATGTTTATAAGTCATGTAGCTCCTCGTCTCACTGTCAAGCCACAATGCGGCCTCGGATTTCGCCGTCACGTCAGAGAGAATGGTCGACTGCTGTGCTCCTCCACGGGGAGTTGATAGTCCATCAACTGCTTGGCTCGGGGTTGACGACGACAAGCAAAGTCCAAAAGAACCATGTTCTTGCTTGTAGTAACAAGTGCCACGCTAGTAGTAACAAGAAGCTATTAATTAGAATTCTAATTGAATTCTTCTTGTTACTAGTAGTAAGGCACTTGCTCCTAGTAGCGATGCACTTGTTACTACTAGCGTCCTTGTTACTACTAGTAAGGCACTTGTTACTAGAAGCGATGCACTTGTTACTAATAGCAAGAGGACGCTTGTATTCATATTACGATATGACTTGCACGTCTTCGTTCATTTGGTGTTGCAACTAGCTGCACGGCTCAAGATCAGATATGTGTTTGTCAATACCATAGTGGCTTGAAGCCTTAGTGGCTTCATTGTCATTGTGTCATTCTGCGGTGCATCAACCTGTTTGCAGAAGTATGGACCACAAATGACCGCTGCGGAAGTGAAGAACCCTTCAAGCCATCAGTCCAGGTCTTGGTTTCCCATGTCCAGAGTTGATGTCATATATCCGTCAATCAAGCATGGCACGGGTACTTCTCTATAACTCCAAGCCCCACAGCTCAGCTCAGCTCACCCACTCCAAGGCCGATGGCCACGCCCTTTGGTCCGGCGCCACGCCCGCCGGGCGCCCCAATTCGGCGATGGCCCTGGTGGGGTCGAACGGGGGGAAAGACCTCACCGCTGTGGTGCCCAGCTGTGAAGGAAGCAAATAGCTAAGAAGAGATCATCATGTCATGTGGAAGAATGTCCACAAAGACGTGATTGACCCACCCACCTACCCACCCCACCCACCCCACCCACCCCACCTAACCCCATTAAGAAGTTTGAACTTGTATTCTCAGAAAGTGAGCATTTGTGTTCACTAACTGTTACCTAACTGTGACCTAACTTGTACACATCACATCAACTCAATTTGTGTGTGTATGCGCAGGTGAGCTAAAGCTGTGCGCGCTGGTGGGTATATATGTGGTACCAGGCACAGGTTTGTATTTGTTTAAATCGATGTGTGTACATGTGAGTTCATCCTGTGTGCGCAGGTGAGTGACTTTTCAAAAAACATGCTGCGGGTACATGTGAGCCGATGTTGCGTGCACAAGTGAGGCGCCGTCCCTGTCGGGGTCTATCGTAAAGGTACCCTCTGGCAGAGTCGCATGTTGGTCTTTCAACCTCTCGTGAAAGGCGAGTGAGTGGCCCACGCATAGAAGTCTCACGCACTTCTGTATTGGTGTTGCTCAATTTTTGATTGCTTCGTCCAATATATGGCTGTCACACTTAGAATACACATTAAAGGTTCATGAAACCCCTGTGGAGGCATAGATAACCATGATAGCCCTTGGACAGCTTGTTGCATTTGTGCCAAGTGTGTGCAAATGCCTTGAGATGCAATATCATGGGAAACGTGTTTTCCCTTGGTGACCCTAATTGTATATAGTTGTGCCAGCTGGCTTCCAAGGGGTCACAAATGATGGACAACCCCACACTGCCTATAGGTTTGATAGGACTCTGCCCTTCAACTTCTTGAGAACCACACGTTTTGAAACAACACCCCGTGGCAGATGTGTTGTTTTACAGAAAGCCTCCAGGCCCAAACCACAATCTTTGGTGTCCTGCTCTTTTTTCCAAAGCTTCGGAAGAACAGGACAAAACACACCAAAAGGGACCATCAGTGGGTTCTTTTTTCCCTACCTGCCAGGTGAGGGTCTCTAGAATTTCTGAGAGGTGTAACTCCTTCCTCGTCCTCCTAGGAGCAAGGACGCTACTAGGGGGCTCCTGGCCTCGCCTTACTCCTCCAGCTCGTCACTTCACGCACCCAGAGGTCAAGTGGAGTTCCAGCTCAGTCGCACACGGGATCCGCACACAAGACGGCCATTCCAGATGGCATGTCAGAATACATGCCAGAAAGACGTTCAGATGGTTAGAATCAGTTTATGGCAGTAAGACGGTCGGCATAGTTGCCGAATTGAATGCCAGCAGGAATGTCAGAATAGATGCCAAACCATACTAAATGCCAAATCAAATGTCAGAAGCTACGTCAGTGTATGTCGGAACAGGTGGTAGGTCTGATGGCAGAACAGATGTAGAAATACATGACACCAAAGTTGGACCATATGTCACGGCACATGTTTGTGTCAATGCACATGTGGCTACCCATGTCAGTCTGTGTTTGTCAGGATAGTCTGTCAATAGCTCTGTCAATACATGTGCCCTACGGATCACTGGAAGTAGAGCTGTTCCTTTTCGGAAGTGTTCATTCCTTTTCGTCACTCCCATGGCCGACCGGCTGAGCAAACCAATCCTCCACTTCCAGCCGCCCGGTTTCCGACCAGGTCGTAGGCGACCCGCAGCCGGTGACGGTCACAACGGGCACCGCCATGACGGCGCCCTACGTGGCGAGCTCGCCCTACGTGGCGAGCTCCACGTGGAAGGTGTGAACTGGGTTTGTTGCAGCAGGGAGGATGTCATAGGATGCGCCATGTTGAGAAATTAGTATATTTAAGTTGTGTTGATCTCCTCACATGACATGGTTTTGGAATGTTTTGAGCATTCGAGATTCCTTTCCCACATGATTGGGATGCCTGTTCCTGAGTTTGCTCCTGGTGGGATGGAGAAGTTGCGGAACACGGCCGATCAGAGGGCGATTTGCAGCGAATACTCTTGTTTGAAGCTTGTCCGGTGGTGTCAGGTTCACACTGCTGTATCCACGTCTTCTCATTTCTTACTGAGATCCATTGAACGGAATCTACCCACTGGGTGAAAGTGCGTGAAATTGATAACATGGTTTGTTCTTCTTGGGGATTCAATGCAAGGTCCAGTCATTCAGGTGCTCAAGTGGTTTGTCAGCTGATTTTTGTGGATTTTTTCATGGGAGTTACCCATGAGATGGATTATGCCCAAACCACAGCTGTTGGATAACTTTGGCTTTGTGTTTATCCAAAAACAATTGGAAGAACGGGCAACACTCGTACATTCTTGGATGTTTGAAATGCTTCCAATACTTCAAACCAATCCTCCACTTCCAGCTGCCCACACCGACCAGGTCGTAGGCGACCCGCAGCCGATGACGGTCACAACGGGCACCCCCATGACGGCGCCCTACGTGGCGAGCTCGCCCTACGTGGCGAGCTCCACGTGGAAGGTGAGAACAAGGGACCGCTATAGGAATGGTTGGGTTGTTTGGGTGCTGCACTCGTAGGATGCGCCGTGTGTTTAATGTATTTGTTTCTATTTCCTCATATGACATGGTTTAGGGATGTCAAATTGAATGCCAGCAGGAATGTCAGGATACATGCCAGATCGAATGCCGGAAAGGATAGAATCTCCGTATGAGATGCCAAATGATATGTCAGGATAGTGTCAATAGTTCTGTCAATACATGTGCCCTGCGGATCATTGGAAGTATCGGAAGAAAAGGCAACACTCACACATTATTGGATTGTTGAAATATGCTAGTAACAAGGACACTACGAGCGGGGCTCCTGGCCTTACTACTAGGAGCAAAGGACGCTACGAACGTTGCATGTTCAATATATACTGCATGTATTTATTTTCTGTCAATACATGTGCCCTACGAATCACTGGAAGTAGAGCAGTTCTTGTCCGAAATGTTCATTCCTTTTCGTCACTCCCATGGCCGACCGGCTGAGCAAACCAATCCTCCACTTCCAGCCGCCCGGTTTCCGACCAGGTCGTAGGCGACCCGCAGCCGGTGACGGTCACACCGGGCACCACCATGACGGCGCAGGCTCATCCAATGGCGTTGAGTTTCTGGTCACAGAAACGTTGGTCTCACCAAACGTTGGATATGGAAGATGGCAGCTTAGTACATCCTTGTACACGGTTTCATCAAATCCACTACTAGTAACAAGTGCATCGCTACTAGTAGCAAGAAGCTACTAGGAAGTGCATCCGTGATGTGTTGGGCTCAAAAGGCACGGGCACACAGGATGCCCGGTCTCTGGTAACGAACACCTCATCTGACACCTCCTGACCGCGCGATGCAGGGATACTACGGGGCCGCAGCCATGGCCCGGTTGAAGGGCAGTCGCCAGCGGCTAGACATCTTCTCCATGCTGCCTTGAATGGTTTGAACGTTTTTAAAATGAGTGTTTTTCATGTTCTTTTTCCTGGAAGGTAGAAGTAACCTTAAACTGTGAAAGATCCCAAGTCACGAAGCCACCGCCAAGGTTACAGGGGCTTTTCTTGCCCTGGCTCTTCTTCTGCGGCCTTTTTGCCTTGTTGCAGCTGGGCCTTCCAATCCGACCGTTCTTTTTCACCTGTTCCGCAGCAATGCCCGTTCCATGTTCCGTTCGCTTCGCATCCTCTTGCTCCGTTCGAGTCGCGATGGAGCAACATCCCTCCCAATGTTAAACCTTGTCGGTGTGCCTGCTGGGCAGATGACTTTGTGCATCTGAGACGACTGGATTGGACGTAGCGGTCCTACTGACCATCATCCCAAGAACTGGGCACTCCACGGTTTTGGGGTCGCGGAGTTCGGATTTTGGAACGCGAATCGTTTTGGGGGCTTCAAAAAATCTACCCAATGGACATTCCCCCTCCAAGAAAGAATTCTTACCGGTTGAATATAAAACAAGTGTGTGTGTGTGTGTGTGGGTCTTCAACTTGCAAGACACACCTTGGAGGACAAAAAGCCGCATGGGCGGAAGACTCTGGAGACACTCGAACTTGCATCAAAAGACCCATGTCCAAACATGTGCCTCGTGCCATCCCATAGTAACAAGTGCCTTGCTAGTAGTAACAAGTGCCTTACTACTAGTAACAAGTGCCTTACTATAGTAGTAACAAGTGCTTTACTAGTAGTAAGGCACTTGTTACTACTAGCGAGGCACTTGTTCCTAGTAGCTTCTTGTTACTAATAGGAAGGCACTTGTTACTAGTAGCGATGCACTTGTTCCTAGTAGCTTTTTGTTACTAATAGTAAGGCACTTGTTACTAGTAGCGATGCACTTGTTCCTAGTAGCTTTTTGTTACTAATAGTATGGCACTTGTTACTAGTAGTGATGCACTTGTTACTAGTAGCGATGCACTTGTTCCTAGTAGCTTCTTGTTACTAATAGTAAGGCACTTGTTACTAGTAGCGATGCACTTGTTCCTAGTAGCTTTTTGTTACTAATAGTAAGGCACTTGTTACTAGTAGCGATGCACTTGTTCCTAGTAGCTTCTTGTTACTACTAGTAAGGCACTTGGTGTGCCTCGTGCCATCCCATCGTAAAAGTCGTCGGACGCGAACACGTGTTTCTCAGACAACTCCCCTGAGAACTCGCGACATCTTCGACCGAGTCTTGTGAAATCGCCAGTCTTCGACAGATGGATCTACCGTGAGACATCGTCAGGTCTTGTTCCTTACACTTCTATCGCCCCTTCCTCACCTACACCTTGGTCGCCCTCGCGGGGCTGGTGTGGTGCGCGCTGGCTTGGACGAGTCTTCGGCTCAAAGGTGAGCCCAGTTGGTATAGCTCCTCGGCGAGCAGGTCTACGAACCAGTTCCGAAGCCAACTCGAAACAAACAAAGGACATCCATATACCTGTCTCCTATGGAACATGTTTTGAGATGTCCGAATTCGAATGATTTCCTGATATTCTATGCAACTCCAATGTTTCCGCGAGATCCCGGGCAGAAGGTGGCCGAATGAGTGGCAGAAGGTGACACCTTTGTGAGCAAACCCCACAGTCAAACGTCCCGGCGTGGGAACATGGAAAAAGATACACACACCAGCTTAGTTACTATTTTGGATTTGGAGGATTTGGTTTGGAACACAATCGCGGTCTTTGCGATGGATTCAGTGCGGTGTTTCTTCCTCCGCCGGGTGCTCGTGTGTGGATCCTTGGGGTGCGAAACAAGAAGCTACGAACGGAACAAGTGCATCGCTACTAGTAACAAGTGCCTTACTAGTAGTAACAAGAAGCTACTAATAGCAAGGGCATCGCTACATTCGTAGCTTCTTGCTACTAGGTAACAAGGTGTAATTTGTTTGGATCCTTTGGGTACGGCAGTATGGCATTCACGAGTTCTGAACTACATGATTTACACTCCCTCCAAAGCCATGGAAGTGGACAATCCCCTGCTCCTAGAGGAAAATCCCTTTGGTCAGCGGGTCTTAGGCTTCCTGTCGGTGACGATGGCAGTGGCCCGGCGGAAGAAGCGGGCGGTCCAGAAGGGGGGACTCAGAAGGGCGAGGAGTGACCGTCCCTGGCACCTTCGGCACCACCTTCGGATGTAGTCCTTGTGGATGGCCGGTCCATGTCCTTGTGGTTTCGAACGAGTCGAGGTGGATCCAACGAGAAAAGGGCGGCCCCACTCCCGCAGGCCGACGATCCCACCCCCTTCACTGGGAGCTTGGGAGGTTCCATGGTCCGATTAGCAGGAGGGTAACTAGAAGCGATGCACTTGTTCCTAGTAGCTTCTATATAATAGGTGTTGTTTTCCTTTTTTGCTCCTAGTAGCGATGCCAGGAGCCCCTGGTAGCATCCTTGCTCCTAGGGTATAGAATAGGTGTTGTTGTCTTTTGTTTTGAACCAGATCCGTTTCTTCTTTGGGATCTAGCCATCGGATTGACTTGGTTGCCACATGTTGCCACATCATGGGTCCCTGCTACTTAAGATGAGTATATAATTGTTCGCTGGGACCCAAGCAGAGATACAAAAATGGTGTCCAATATATACATGTGCATCGCCACTAGTACTTGGATGCAATGGAGATCGCAATCCAAAGAACATCCGTTCCACTTAATATCCAGGTGTGTTCATATATTAGAACAAAGAAGTTTGCCGGTGGTCTACCACCAAATGATGGTAGAGGAAAATATAGGGAAATGCATGCCCCCAGCAGACCAGCAACAGGCTATGCTCACGTCAACAATCACTTTCCAAGCAGTGTTGGGAGGGGCAATGATGTTTGTGTGCAGATGAGTGTGAGATACAATCAGCACACACTCCCTGAAATAATCATGGAATTGGAAAAGAAGCCCTGGAAAATAATGTGTCTCTACAAACAGGTGGTGAACTCCACTTAGATGTCAATGACTCGGAGAGTAATTCGTGGTTTTTGGCTGGTCTAGAAACGTGATAGACCCCTCAGTCTGAGGGGGGTCTCTCGAGCATAGAAGAATATCTTTAAAACGCAGATCCCACAACGAAGCAGATCACACCGTCATGTCTGTCCACCTGATTTGTCACAGATCTTATATACTGTTTTGTCTCGATCAGAGTATCCATCGAGTCCAAGTGTGCAACTAGTGTCCAAGGTTGCCCTTTGCTCCTAGTAGCGAACATTGCCCCTAGTAGTAATGCCGTTGTTACTAGTAGCGTCCTCTTGCTCCGTTCGTAGTACGGCCAGGAGCCCCGTTCGTAGCGTCCAAGGTTGCCTGGCTTTTGGCTGTGGTCTTCGGCAATATGAACTATGCGGCCACCTCACAGCCTTATCACAGCTATGTGCCTCGGTTGACCAAGCAGGCGAACGGGACGGTTCTTCTGAACAGACTGTTCCCCCTTTGGCGAATCCATGTGAACATGCTTCAAATGGTCCCTTACACAAGCGGGAAGCTGGTGTTCCATGGGTTCTCCAGTTCCGTGGCCCATGGCCCCGACCGAAGACCGGTCGTCTCATGCTTCCGATATGCCAGGAAGGCCAGCCGGGACATCGACATGGAAGGTCGTAGATTGCGATGTTTTAATTCGAGAGATGGCCCTGGCATTCAAAAAGAGTGGATTGCCCTGGAATCGTACGGTTGGGGATGTCCATATTGGGGGAGAACAAGACCAACCAGGATTCGGTTCAAAGGAGAACCACATGTTTGAAACCACCACCCGACCCGTAGCAAGATCGGCTTGTTGACAAATACAAAACGCAGCACCAAGGGCAGTGCCCAAAAAGCCACACGCCTTTGATGTCCTGGCCTCCCACCTAATGGCGTCCTTGCTCCTAGTAGTAAGGCCAGGAGCCCCTAGTAGCGTCTGATTGCTCCTAGTAGCGATGCCCTTTGCTCCTAATAGCTTTGATGTCCTGTTCTTCCAAAAAAAAGAATCCGTTGACACCAACGGTTCACCACACCCAGGAGCACATGGACGTGCTGCCCGACGTGAGTCCGACGGAGTCCACGGGCGCAGAGGTCCTGGCCGCCGGGCGCGTGGACTTCGGAAAGCACTCGGTGCTCGACGCTTGGCCAAGGCATCGCTACGAACGGGGCTCCTGGCCTTACTGCTAGGAGCAAGAGGACGCTACGAACGGAACAAGGACGCTACTATGGGCTCCTGGCATCGCTACTAGAAACAAGAAGCTTCTAGGGGCTCCTGGCCTTACTACTAGGAGCAAGGCATCGCTACAAACGGAGCAAGAGGACGCTACGAACGGAACAACGGGCCAGTGAAAGGAGGCAGTTCACCTCCGGACCCGAACCAAAGCCTTTTCTCATTTGGTCCGGGTCGATTGGTGTTTGGAGTTTGACGAAGCCGACATCAAGGAACCGTGGAAGAGCTGCAGACCAGCGTGTTCGTTTGGGGCAAAGGATTAAGTCTTGGTGTGTTTTTTTTCCACTGGAGATGAACGTCAAAAGGTGAAGCTTTTCTTTTCCAGGTCGGAGTCAGAAAGTGATAGGACCGCGCCGCTGTCCTCGGTGAATCGAAGCCGGAACTCATAGGACCGGCATCGAAGCCCCCTCGACCGGGTTTCGAGACGTCCAGACGTGTTTTCGACCGAATTTCATCAGCTCTCCACTGGTCGAAGAG